TTTTATCATTATCGTCCATCACACTTCAAAGTATATATTTCCTAATTCAGAAAAAATTATTATACATTAATACCAAAATACCCTTAAGTTATACTTAAATTACAAATATGTTATTACATATATAATTACTTTATACATAAAGTCAAAGTATAAAAATATCAAAAACTCTTACATACTTTCACTAATTAATAAAATATTATTATTTTTTAATCTATTAATATATATATATATAATTTTACCAATATTGTGTTTGATTTGATTTTTTATTTTTCTTAATAAAATGCTTAACTACAACTTTCAATAAAAAAAAATTATTATTATATATATTATAAAATATTACATCAAATTATTACATATACAACTTTCAATAAAAAAAAATTATTATTATATATATTATAAAATATTACATCAAATTATTATCATGTAATTTCAAAAGATAAATACAACTCTTTCGATTATTACTACTTCCTCCGTATCATGTCTATGTTGTTGTTTTTGTCCGTCTCACATACCATATCATTTTTTTTTGAAAATGATTACACATTTTAATCTCATTTTAAACTTTTTAATTTTTTTAAAAAATTTTTAATTAAACTAATTAGTTATCTTAATCTTAATTTATAATTATTTATATTATAGAATAATTATTTTCACTAATACATTCTTAATTATCTACTAATTACTCATTCCTAAAATACCGTGTCTACAGTGTCGCAAACACGGTATGTGGGACGAAGGTAGTATTATTTTTTAAAAAATAGACAAATACAACTCATAATTAAACACACCATATGCAATGTAATTCAACCTTAACCATGCATGCATGAAATTTCTAAATATGTTGCATTTATGTATGAATATGTAAAATTGGATTTTTAGTCACTTAAATAAGAAGTGACGTGTGTGTATATATTTGTGTATGCATGTATATATATATATATATATTTAAGAAATGGAAGAATTTGTAGTGGTAGAGGAAGATAGCGTAGGTATACGAAGCATCATCTTTTAAGTATTACGGTGCTCTCACGGCTCTTTTAATTCTTTCAATTGTCTCATGAGCCCCACCACTACATAACTTAAAACCCCACCATCAACATAAAGTAAAAATTTATTTTTGGCGCGGTGTTTAAAAAGTAATACTTTATCTGTCATAGTGCGAGGTTATCGTTTACTTTTTGCACACATATTTTGTAATATTAGTATTATAATAGGTTGTAGTAAAAAAGACAAAAATACTTCTATTAGTATTGTGTAATATAAAAATAATGACATTTGTGTAATATATTGTAAGTTGGAAGGGTATTTATTATGTTATGTAGGTAGTACAATTACTAAATTAGAAAATAGTAATCTTGTTTTGAGACGAACGGAAATGGAAAATGACATCCTTTAAATAGGACAGAGGGAGTAATATTTTAATTATAATGAGTAGTTAAAATTAGTGTAATAATGTTTTTACGGTTGTTTTTTTGGTGTAAAAATAATGATGTGATGTAAAGTAAATGTATTTGTGGAAAAAATAAATGAGATATTTAATGAAATATTTATTTTGTAATTAGAGGTCCCAAAATAGAAATATATATATTTTATAACTGTACGGAGAGAGTATATATATAAATGGTCAGGATAACTAAGCTGAAGTAACTAATAAATTATTATACAATCTATAGCATATTATTGAGTGAGCATATTAACTATATATATATTTGGATTTATTTTGTTTGAAGTTCTCGTTTACAAATAAATAAATTAATAATGTATTTTTTTAATATATCATTAATTCGAAATGATATCAGAGCTAAATCTCGAGTTCAAGTACCACCATTCATACTTTGATTTTAAATTTTAATTAAATAGCAATAACTTGAATATAACATTTTATTAAAAATATATTTTAATGTAAATTATAGTAAAAAGAAATTTAAATCAGACTTCAAGTACTTATTTTAATATTACCTTCCTTATATATATTGCTTTGTTTAATATATTTAATTAATATATAATATGCGTTTAAGTTATTATCTTTGAATTTTATAATTTAGAATAGTATTAACAATGTATGATACTACTCCTCCTCTCATTTATCTATCTATCGCCCTATTGTTTGCACGGAATTTTAAAAATATTAGTATTATATTAGAATATAGTATAAATAAAATATAAAAAACTAAAATAATTTTATTAGTATTTTGTAATGTAAAAGTAATGACATTTGTGTAATATATTATAAGTTGTAAGAGTATTTTTAATTTAGTATAAAATACAGTTAAAAAAATGAATATTTTATTAAGGAACAAACCAAAAAAAAAATGGTTAAATCGTTAAGAGACTAAGAGAGTACTAATAGATAGCATACAATATAACAACAAACAAAACATAATTTAGACTAAAATAATGCAACATATGATATAAATGAACCAATAGCACATGAGCTGTTAGCAAATAATTTCAATTAATATGTTAGTCCAATTTTTATATATTGATTGTCACAATCAGTATTATATTAATTTTTCTTATACAATGCAACGATAATATTTTCGACTTTGACAAATTAGCATCACGATAAATTTTAATGTAATTGATCTTGAATCAATTACAATTCATTTGCAATATTTGTTTTTCAATAACTTGTTTTTAATAAAATGTTTTTTAAAAAATAAAAATAAAAAATTTTATCTCGAGCTTAAATAGACAATTTTCACCAAATAAGATAAGTATTACTTTTTAATCTACTATTACAAAAATAAGAAGTCAAAAGAGTATATTGAAGTTGGACAAAGACCATATGTTTTTATCAAGTTCATCCAATATTATTTTATGAAATTTTAAATTACAAAATTTTGAATGGAATAGGATAAAATTTAATCGAATGATTGAATTATATTATTAACCTTGTATTTTAAAAATTTAAATCAAATATTCAAATCAAATCGAGTACAAATATTATTTAAAGTTTGAAGCGAACGGAATTATCGAATAATCTCATAGTACACAAAATATTTTGCAAACACAAAATATATAATCAATGCAATAGTCACATAATCAATCACAAAATTAATAATACAATTTACAAATAAATAAATTAATTGGGTGTGTTTATTTGTTATTTTTTGGTTTTGAATAGTAAAATTTTGAATTGAAATAATTGTTTGATGTGATATAAACATTAATGTGATATTTTAAATATAAAATTTAATTTTAGTGTAATATAATAAATTTTAGAATAATTAATCAATACTTTTAATTACTAAACTATTTATTTAATTAGAATAATTAAATTTAAAACTAAAGATTGAGATTAAACTCAATATATGCAGGTCAACATATGATCCGGTACTCTAAAATAGTTCATAGAAAATTTGTACAATATAATTTTGGGCAAAATTGTTCGTAACTCTTTATAATTTCGAAACTCAGCGTAAATTCCTCATCTATTTTAAAAATTGCATGGTACCCCCTTATACTTTTGCATGAAACCCCACTACCATGAAACTTTCCTCATGTGATAAGAAGATGATTTCCTATCTATATGTTTTGCATGACAGGGGGTTTTATGCAATATTTTTGAAAGTATAAATGAGCGTCATGCAATTTTTGAAAGTAAAATGGGGATTTATGCTGAGTTTCGAAACTACAAAGTTGTTTCATGCAATATTTTTTAAAGTATAAGAGGATACCATGCAATTTTTAAAGTAGATGTGAAATTTATGCTGAGTTTCAAAACCACAAGAGAGTTATGAGCAATTTTGCCTATAATTTTATTAGTATTTTAGAAGAGAACATAATAAAATGATGTTTACCAAAAAGTATCGTGGAATTGTTCATATAGCACCGATCAAGAATTTAAATGAAATATAGTATATTCACAATGAGTGGTTCTTATAAAATTTTGAATTGATGTTATTTAAAAATCTGACAACACAATATATACTACAATGCATTATTCAACCAGTGAATAGTGTAGATTTTTAATTGAAATCACAACAAACAAACCTATACATTGTTGAATATTTAAGACTTGTTTGGTGTAATGTGAGTTTTAAATCAACGATTTTAAACTATTATTCGTTATTACAAAATATACTATTGTTTTTTTTTAAAAAAAAAGAAAAATAAAATTAAATATATATTCTATTTTAAATTAATTTTAAACTATAACCAAACAAATCAGTAGGAATATCAAAATTAAATCCGATCACGTCAGGAATAACTTGGTGGTACAAAGTTGAACTTATAAGTGTCGTGTTTCGGGTTGACCTCATAACTCGAAATATAAATTCAGATCAGGTTTCGGTTTTGGATTGACCTAAAAAAAAATTTATTTATATTAATAAAAATGATTTTTTTAGGTTAATTTATTTTTATTTTTTAATTTTTCGGGTCTGTTTCGTGTCGGGTTCGTTCGAATTTTGGGTGACCTGAAATTAATTCAGGTCAATCATCTGAAAGAATTCGTTTCGTATTCGGGTCTAAACTTTCACGTCAAATTTTGGGTTCAGATGAATTTTTTTTTTTTTTTTTTTTTTTTTATGGCTCAATCTCAGACGCTACTCAAAAACACTAATTTAATTGACACCCCTATAAATCAGGTAGATTTCATAATTTTAATAACTTTGGAAAATTTTCGAGTGTGTTGTTTTGTAAAATAATTTGAATAATTTTTTTTTTTTTTTTTTTTTTTTTTTATGTAAAATACAAAAAATTTTGTAAAAAATATAATTTTAAAAATTCAGAATACTTCAATTTATTATTTTATTTTATTTTATTTTTTAAAAAAAGTCCTATAAATAAATTCTTGATCGAATATACTCCCTCAAATCTTGTCAATTCAATTCCAAATAAACACAGCCTTTTATATTCCATTGCGAAGGAGAATATGATTAAAATGTATATATATAAAAACAAAGTAAACCCATCCATTGATATTGTGGCTCTGGTTGTCTTCCTTATCTCATCAGGCATCCACCTCCTCCTCCCCCCCCCCCCCCCCCACCCCCACCCTACCCCACCTTCTGTTGTGTATGAGTTTGTTCTTCTCTTGGACCTCGAGCCGTCTTCACGAGGACCCCTTTCTTCATACGCCTGCTTTCCTCTTTCCTTCTCTTATTACAAAACTCTGAATAAAATATTCGAAGTAATTCCCCCAAAAAAAAGTGATGCAGAAACCCAAGCAAAACCATATGCTTTTACGAGCTTCAACTTCACCCACTCGTAGCAATCCATGTTTCTTCAATCGATTGCTCATCCCCAAACTGAATTAATTTAATTTGCAGAAAAAAAAAGAAAAAGAAAAGAGAAACTGAATCTCTGTAATTTTTGCTTCTGGAGATGAAAAGGGATCGTGATCGGGGGAAGGGGAAAGGGGCGGCGGCGGAGTGCGGCGGCGGCGCCGACGACGGAAAAATGTGGCCGATGGAAGTGGATTCCGGTATGGACGAGCTGTTCGCCGTTTTGGGCTACAAAATGAAGTCTTCCGACATGGCAGAGGTCGCCGAGAAGCTCGAGCAGCTGGAGATGGCGATGGGGATGGCCAGTGACGATGGCGCCGGCGAGTCGGTCCTCGCCGCCGATACTGTTCATTACAACCCGTCAGATCTTTCCGGGTGGGTCGAATCCATGCTATCCGAACTCAGCACCTCCTCCGACTCCCTGGATCCGAACCCGATTCGGATTCCGGCCGAATCTTCTTCCAGCAACCAGATAACACCCGCCGGAGGAAAATTAATGGACGACGACGACGATCTGACAGCGATTCCTCGTACGGCGATCCGCAACAACCAGAACAAAGATTCCCCAAACGATTCGGCGACGGAGAGCAATAAGAGGATGAAATCCTCCGCCGGATCTGATCTATTTCTCGAAATCTCCTCCTCCACCGCCGCCTCTTCCTCGGCGGCGCCGCCGCCGCTTGTGGTGGTGGATTCTCAAGAAACCGGCGTTAGGCTCGTCCACACACTTATGGCCTGCGCAGAGGCCATCCAGCAAGACAACCTTAAACTCGCCGACGCCCTCGTGAAGCACGTCGGCGTCCTCGCCGTGTCCCAAATCGGCTCCATGAGAAAAGTCGCGACGTACTTCGCCGAAGCATTAGCCAGAAAGATCTACAACATCCACCCGCCGGAAAACCTCAATTCCGACGTCCTGCAGATGCACTTCTTCGAAACGGCGCCGTATTTGAAGTTCGCCCATTTCACAAGCAACCAGGCCATCTTCGAAGCTTTCTCCTCCGCCGCGAAAGTCCACGTCATCGATTTCAGCTTGAAGCAGGGGATGCAATGGCCGGCTCTGTTACAGGCCCTCGCCTGCCGCCCCGGCGGCCCCCCGCGCTTCCGATTAACCGGCGTCGGCATCGGCTGCGGGCATGACGTCGGGTGGAAGCTATCGCAGTTGGCGAAAGTGATCGGCGTCGAATTCGAGTTCGAATCGTTATCCGCCAATTTCGATCCGACTGCGCTGCAAATTCACAACGACGAGACGCTAGCGGTGAATTCAGTGTTCGAGCTCCACCGGTTGCTCGCCCGACCTGGCGCGGTCGAGAAATTCCTCAGTTCGATCAAGGGATTGAGTCCGAAAGTCGTGACGATTGTCGAGCAGGAATCAAATCATAACGGGGCCGCGTTTGTCGACCGGTTCAACGAGGCGCTGCACTACTACTCGACGATGTTCGACTCGCTGGAGTGCGCCGCGACAGGCGAGGCGAGCAGCGAGGATGTGGTGATGACGGAGCTGTACTTGGGGCGGCAGATATGCAACGTCGTGGCGTGCGACGGCGAGGAGCGCGTTGAGCGGCACGAGAGGCTGGGGCAGTGGCGGGCGCGGATGGGCGCGGCCGGGTTTGAGCCCGTGAATTTGGGGTCGAACGCGTACAAGCAGGCGAGTATGCTGCTGGCGCTGTCGGCGAGCGGAGACGGGTACAGCGTCGAGGAGAATGCCGGGTGTTTGATGTTGGGTTGGCACGCACGGCCGCTGATTGCCGCCTCGGCGTGGCGGCTGGCGGCGGCGCCGGCGAAGTAGTTGTGATTCAACTCGGCCACAGAAAATGTGGGCGCGGATTGGAGACAGCCTAATTAACATTTAAGTGTTTGGTTGTTTTATGTTTGAATTAAGTTGGTTTTTTTGGGGGTTTTGGTACACTTTTTTTTTTTTAGGATTACGAAGATATTTAGGTGGTTGGATTTTAAGTTTTGGTTTGCTCTTTGGTTTGTAAATTGGGAATAACTATATCCAAGATGTAAAATTTTGACATGAATCAATAAACTAAGTTGTAAACTAAGTTGTTAAGAAGGATTTGAGATTTCAATTATTAGAAATTTTGGGGAAAATAATAAGATTATCTTATTGATCATCAAACTAAGGGGTTACATATAGGTAAGGCAAAACAGACTTGATAGATTTAATCTAAGTAATCTAATCTACGGATAAGATCAAATTTAAATATAAATATACTATTGAATATCTAAAATATTTCAAACACCTCTTCTCAAACTGAAATGGTATAGCATAAACCAACTTGAATTTGACAAGAAAACGAGATAACTCTCCACCGGAGTAAAACACGACATGACTCCACCGGAGTCGAAAACGACATGATTCCACCGGAGCCGAAAACAAGATAACTCTCAACCGGAGCCGAAAACGAGATGACTCCACCGGAGCCGAGAACAAGATGACTTCACTGAAGCCGAAAACGAGATGAATCTTCACCGGAGTCGAAAACGAGATGACTCTATCGGAGCCGAAAATGAAATGACTCAACTGGAGCCGAAAACCACATGACTATTCCAGAGCCGAAAACGAGATAACTTCACCGCAGCCGAAAACCACATAACTCCATTGGAGCAAAAAAAAAAACAATATGACTTCACTGGAGCCGAAAATGAGATGACTCCACCGAAGCCGAAAACGACATGACTTCACCGCAGCTGAAAACGAGATGACTCCACCGGAGCCGAAAACCGCACGACTCCACCGGAGCCAAAAACGAGATGACTTTCCACCGGAGCCGAAAATGACAGGACTTCACCGGAGCCGATAACGAGATGACTCAACCAGAGCCGAAAACAAGATGACTCTCCACCGGAGCTGAAAATGACATGACTCCACCGGAGCCGAAAACGAGATAACTCTTTACCGGAGCCGAAAATAGATAGATCGCAACACCAAACAGATCGCACGTAGGCAACAGACAAGCAGCAGACATGGCAGGTTGTAGACAGATTTTCGGCAACAAACAAGGAACGAAAGATGACAGATCGCACGCAGGCAACAGACAGACAATGGACATATGGTAGATAGTAGACAAATCGCAGAAAAATTTAAGATTGCACGCAGGAACAGACAGACAACGGACGGATGATAGATTGCAGAAGAGACAGATTTACAAAAAGATAGACTTGCAAAGACATGATCTCAAAATTACAAAACCTTCGAGAACAATCCAGGTTGAATGTACCAAGAGAAACACGAGTTGGTAGGCTATATCTGAAAAGATTGAGGAAAGAATGCAGAACATCTAATTTCTTACTTCTCTAAAAGCTAAAAAAATATACAATTACCTTAAAAAGGTCTGGGGTGCCCTTCTAATGGCCAAAAGAGAGAAGAAAAGAGAAGAAGACAAATAAAGTAGGCCTAGAGAAATAAATACAATTAAACCCATAATAAAATTAAGAGCAGCCCAAAATATATATTGAGCCCACACAATGACTAAATATCTATTTTCCTTATTTACTACACGAATTTTCATAGTCCCCCTTCGCTCCGAGCGTATCCTGACATAGCTTGGAGCGAAGATTCCTAAATATGTGTCCAACTAAGGGTTTTGTAAAGATATCCGCATTATGCTCCTTACTCTTCACATATGTAGGGACAATGAACCGGTTCTCGCAGTGATGTCGAATGAGGTGACACGTAACATCAATATGTTTTGTCCTCTCATAGAAGACAGGATTTTCGATGATATGCTTCGCCGCTTGATTGTCACAATACAATGGAATGGGTGTGACCACCTCCACTTTTAATGCCTTGAGTAAATATGATAGCTATAATAGCTCATACGTGGTTGTACTCATGCTCCGATACTCTGCTTCTGCTGTGGAAATGCTTATTGTAGCCTGCTTTTTTGCCTTCCATGATACTAGATTACTCCCAAAAAAATACAATAACCGGTGATTGACTTTCGGGAATCAATACAGGTTCCCCAATCAGCATCAGCATATGCTGCTAAGCAAAGAGATGACTCTTTCTTAAGTGTAGACCATAGTGTTGTGTCCCCTTCAGGCATCTCAACACATGCAAAGCTGCCTTCCAATGTGTTGTGGTTGGTTTGGACATGAACTGACTGAGTTGATGTGTTGCGAAGGTAAGATCAGGCCTAGAGAAGTTCAAGTAAAGCAATCTTCCAATAAGTCTTCTATAGAGAAATACATCATCAACCAACTCACTTTCTTCCGCAGAAAACCGAACTCCAACTGGCAAAGGGGTGCAGGCTGTTGAGGCTTCCAACATTTTCAAATCCTCTAATATGTCATAGATGTACCTGCCTTGTGATAGAAAAATGCCATCTTGGGTTTGTTTGATTTCAATCCCAAGGAAGAAGTTGGCATCTCCCATGTCCTTGATAGTGAATATCTCATTTAGGTACTCCTTCACTTCTTGCACTAATTCACAGGAGGATCCAATCAATGATATGTCATCAACATACACTGTAAGTGCCATAACATCTTTTCCTTTATGCTTGATTAAGAGACAATGATCATATGGTGACTGATGGAAACCAAACTTGACCGCATTTTCAGTTAGTGTCTTGTACCACACTCTAGGCGCCTGTTTGAGGCCATACAAGGACTTCTTCAACCGACACACTTGATTTGGGCAATGGAGTAACCTGGTGGTGGTTGCAAATAGACCTCTTTATTTAGCTTTCCATGTAGAAACGCATTATTAACATCCATTTGTTGAATATGCCAGCCCTTTGTCACAGCTATGGCTAACATTAATCTTACAGTTGTGCATTTGGTAACTGGAGCAAAACACTCATCAAAGTCCTTGCCTAGCTCCTGTAAGTAGCCTTTGGCTACCAACCTTGCTTTGTAACGAGTGATTAAGCCATTTTTGTCTCTCTTTACTCTGTAAATCCACTTGCACCCGATTGCTTTCTTTCCTTCTGGCAGCTCTACAGTTTCCCATGTTTTGTTATTTTCCAATGCTGCAATTTTTTCTTTCATTGCTTTTATCCAATGCGGATTTTTGGCTGCTTCATCAAAGTTGTATGGTTCATCTGATGCATTATTCGAAATGCATACATAATTCTTTAACCATGAAGGCTTCTTAACATTCCTGTGAGGTCTCTGCTGTATAGCAGGTAACTGATCTGCATTTTCATCCTCTGTGCATTCCTCACTTTCTGTGTCGGTAGCTGTAGTGATTTCTTTTGGGTTGGGATATGCTGTAGAAGGATTCTCAATACTCAAATCAGTTTCTAGAACAGACAACCGGTCTTGACCTCCAATTATCAAATGATATTCATGAATTGTTTGCATAAGAGAGATCATAGGAGCTGTGTTGTGAGCATTGTTACTCAAAATTTGTATTCCTAGAAAAATATTCTCATAAAATACCACATTTCTAGTAACCACAAAAACTTGTTTATGGTAGGCACAAACACCTTATACCCTTTTACTCCATTTTCATTGCCTACAAAAACAACATTTACACCCCTTTGGCAAAGCTTGTCCTTTTGGGGATCATAGTTGTATATGTAGCACAAACACCCAAAGACTTTCAAATGATCTATGACCGGCTGTTTTCCAAGTAGCATCTCATATGGAGTTTTCCATTTTAATACAGGGCTGGGTAATAAATTAACCAGATATGTGGCTGTTAAGAGGGCTTCTCCCCAAAGAGTTGTTGGTAACTTGGCTTGAAATGACAAAGCTCTAGCAATGGAGAGTAAGTGTTGATGCTTTCTCTCCACTCTACCATTTTGCTCGGGAGAATAAGGGCATGACTTCTGATGAGCTATCCCAAATTCCTGCAGCAGATTCTTGAAAGCCAATGAGTTAAATTCTCCACCATTGTCATTTCTAATGCATTTCACTTTGGTATTAAACTGGTTCTGCACTAGTTAGACAAATGCAGTCACAACCTTCATAGTTTGTGACTTAAAGATTTATTAGAAATGTCCATGTAGCTCTGCTATAATCATCAACGATTGTTAAGAAATATTTAGCACCACAAGTAGAAGGAAGATAATAAGGTCCCCACACATCAAAATGTAGAAGACCAAAACAGCAACTTGCATTAGTAAAGCTCAATTCATATGGTAAACGTTTCTGTTTTGCCATATGGCATGCATCACAATGATGATCATCCCATTTATTTAAATTTGAGTTACATAATAAGTGCTCCAAAACTCTATTTGAAGGATGTCCAAGTCTTTGATGCCAAGGGTCATCTTTCACCACAACATACACTTTTGAAGACTGAATCATCTCCAATATGTATAGGTGGCCTTTATTCATCCTTTTCCCTAGAATTTTCTTGTTCTTATGGTCCTGAATAGCAAGAATTGTTCACAAAATTCACGCAGATATTAGGATCAAGACACATTTTATACACTGAAATAAGACAATATTTGAATGCAGAGATGTAATACACATCATGCAGAGTGATATGTTCATTCATTCAGAAACACTGCCCCTGCATAAGTTGCAAGCTGCATAGATCCATCGGGCATATGAATTTTTGTTGGTTTATCAAGAGGTTTTAGGTATTCAAAAAATCTCTTGTCATTGCCAACATGACAAGTGGCTCAACTATCAAGAACTCAACTATTGTCTATACTAGCATTAGTGAATGTATTGAGGTAGTTTATACCTGCATGCTCCACATCAAACACATTGTGCTGCTCAATTGGAGATTTCATTTTCTCAAATGTCCTTTTAAGCTCTTGTTGGATCATTTCACTCAAAGCACCAGATTGTATCGAGGGGTTTCAAGAAATCATATTTTCACCCATTGCTTGGAGAGTGATCTCAGTAGGAGCTGTAGCATTGAACTCATTTTTTTTATTTTTTTCTTGAATAGTTTTGAACCAATCTGGAGTTCCATGAAGTTTGAAACAAGTCTCCTTCGTGTGACCTATCTTCTTACAGTGTTCACATACCATATTTCTCTTATCCACCTTCTTCTTGTCACCTTCTCTGCCCACTCCTTTTGCAGAGGCCATAAGAATAGTAGGGCTAGGATCATGCAATAACCCTAAAATCTCCTGTTGTTTTTCAGCACTTACCAACATCCCATAAATTTTGTTAAGTGATGGCATTGGGTCCATCATTAAGATTTGGCTACGCACCGCATCAAATGAGTCATTCAGCCCCATGAGATAGTCTATGACATCTTGTCTTGCCAAGTAAACATCTATTTCTTTCATATTATCAGGAATAGGTGTTAGGCAGTAGAGTTCATCTTTCAAGCTTTTCATCTTGTTAAAAAAGGAAGCCATGGATAAATTACCTTGAGTTAAATTTGATATCTCTTTCTTTAGACGATACACAAGTGGACCATTGCACTGTCCATACATTTCCTTCAGAAGTTCCTAGAGCTCAAGACTCGAATTCACATACCCGAAGGCCATATTCAGTTGAGGAGATATGGAATTGAGCATCCATCCGAGGATCATGTTGTCTGTCATTTTCCACAATAAAGTTGTTGCAGGATTAGCTAGCTTGAGTGTTTCACCGGTAATGAAACATTCATTTCCTTTAGCCGATAGAGCGCGCAGTATGCTTCTACTCCACAGTAAGTTGTTGCCGTCAGTGAGGAGGATGAAAACTAAACTCATACCGGGTTGATCGGAGGAAGAGAGTTCCAGTTGAGCCATGGTTGTGGTAAGAGTATTTCTACATACAGATGAGGTTATGTTGCTAGTGACCGAGCCAAACATCGGTGTAAGCTGATATGGAGTCCAATAGCCATTAAGGCAGTGATTTTTCAATCACAGTATCAACCAAGAAAGAAATACAGAGCACTACGAAGATCGTTGCAGTAGCTCTAATACCGTGAAAAGATTGAGGAAAGAATGCAAAACATCTAATTTCTCACTTCTCTAAAAGCTAAAAAAATACAATTACCCAAAAAAGGTCTGAGGTGCCCTTCTAACGGCCAAGAAAGAGAAAAAGACAAATAAAGCAGGTTTAGAGAAATATATACAATTAAACCCATAATAAAATTAAGAGCAACTCAAAATATAGATTGAGCCCACATGATGACTAAATCTCTATTTTCCTCACTTACTGCACGAATTTTCACAATATCTACTGTATGAGAAAAGTAGACTCTGATACCATGTTAGAAATTTTGGGGAAAAATAATGAGATTGTCTTATTAATTATCAAAATAAGGGTCTTATATATAGGCAAGACAAAACAGACTCGATAGACTCAAATCTAAGTAATATAATCTACGGATAAGACCAAATCTAAATATAAATATATTAAATCTAAAATTGGATATCTAAAATATCTAAACATCAATTTTGAAATCATTTGATATTAGTTAGAGGGGTTCTTCATCCTTATACTAAGGGAATTCCAACATTTTTTCTTATGTTCTAACACGAACACAATGAGTCTCATTTTATATTAGATAATATAAATGACCGTTTCATTTAAAAGTTTAATTTATTTATTTATTGACAAACAGAAGTCAATCAACACGGGGTGTATTAATTTAGAATGTTATATATATATATATATATCAAATAATTATTTTATTTCAGAATTTCGCTAATTAAAAACAATGTCAAAACTAAAATGCTACAAATGAACACATCGTTAGGTAGAAATATACTTACTCTACATTATGCGTCATAGATGGAGTATTATATTTAATATATATTTAAATTACATTATAAACAATTTAGATTATAGTATTTGTATATAGGTTTTTGAAATTTTGAAAACATAAAAATACAAAACAAATAAAAATTAAGAATTCGTCTAGTTCTATTTTATATTCACTGTTTTCATCAATGGTAATTTATTTAAAAGAATATTATACTACTATTATACTACTTGTACTAAAACTTTATTTTATTTTAAAAATAATACATAAAAATTGTTTATAGTTGTATCAAACAATTATTTTAATTTAAAATCTAATTATACCTATAATCCAACAATGAGTATATTCAACCTCGTTGCTCCGGGTACATTCAACCTGGAATGTACCAGGAGGTTTTGATTTTGAGATATGTCTACAATTTTATCCGAGTTTGAGTTTGTTTTAGAGTTTGTCTCTGCATTCAAGAACAAAAGCTTTGTTGAGAGCGGCGGAGGCGACGTTGGACGAACAACTGTTATGTGCGAGAACAGAAGTTCGGTCGGGAGCGGCGGCGGCAACGACGGACAAAACAATTGTTATTTGCATTTGCATTAGAGTTTGTGTCTGCGTTCGAGAACAGAAGCTTTGTTGAGAGCGGCAAAGGCGACGTCGAACAAGCAACTATTATGTGCGAGAATAAGAGCTCAGTCAGGAGCGGCGGCTACAACGACGGACAAAGCAACTGTTATTTGCGTTTCCATTAGAATTCATGTCTGCGTTCGAGAACAGGAGCTTAGTTGAGAGCGGCAAAGGCAACGTCAGACGAGCAACTATTATGTGCGAGAATAAGAGCTCAGTCGAGAGCGGCGGTGCCAACAACGGACCAAGCAACGGTTATCTGCGTTTGCGTCTTTTGGTTTTTGTTTAACTTTCTTGTCAAACTCAAGTTGGTTTCTGTGGTCCCACTTGAGTTTGAGAGGGGGTGTCGAGAGATTTTCGATATTTAGTTTTAGCTTTGTTAGATTTAGATTTAAATTTGGTCATATCCATTAGATTACGTTATTTAGATTTGAGTCCATCGAGTCTGTTTTAGGTTGCTTATATATAGACTCCTTTATTTTGATTATCAATAATGCAAGCTTTAGAATTTCCGTAAAATATTTTAACAAATACAATATGTTTTTCTGCCATATAGATTAGTTGCAAGCTTTAGAATTTCCGTAAAATATTTTAACAAATACAATATGTTTTTCTACCATATAGATTAGTTGGAATTAACATATATAAAATAAATTTTGGTCGCATATAGCTTGAATTAATACAATATGTTTTTCTAGATTGTTAGTATGTATTATGTGTTTTTTTTATTATGCATACTATATTAACATGCCTTGTGTGTTGAAATATAGTGTAGTATGTGTTGTGAATTATTTTTCTATATATTGTTGGTTCATGTGTTATATATATATATTTAATGATGTAGGAATTTACAATTGTTATTTTTCGAATACATTTTAAAAATTTTTTAGTCGAATCTAATAGTTTGCGACCAATTTGAAGGTAATAGATTTGAATTCATGACATCACGGTATGTTTTTATTATGTTTATATATACTTTATGCTGTTGATATATTGTCGGCACAATGTTGACTAATTATAGTTAGTATTGTAATTGTCTCCAATTTATTGAATTGATAAAATATGTTTATAATAATACTTTATTTGTCAATTATTTATATATCTATCCTCTTTTGTTATGTAAATTAATAAATAATAGAAAAAAATGAATGGCGTGAGAATATACAACCGATATTTTTTGAATGTGTTTGGGGTAATTCCAGCCGGCCAAATCTATTATAATCGGTAAATTAGTCAAGAAAGAAAAATTATACAAGACAAATCATATATAGCAGATAAAATCTATAAGCATTAGGAGTATGTAATTTGTAGTTTTAGGTGCGATCACAACTATAAAATTGAAAATACATATTAATTATAGACATTTCAAAACAATAGTAAAATTTTCTCAAATATGCTTTGAATTGTTACTATATTTTAGTAATTAATTTAATCATAATAGTTCAATGCGATTTTACTTTATTCGAGTTCTTACTATATTTTATTTATTAATTTAATCGTGATTGCTTAATGCGATTTCTCTTTTGTGAAAATATGATTATTGTCATAAATATTTGTTTCTTTTATTAATAGCCTCGTTTTTTTGTTTTTTTTTTGTTTTTGTTTTTGTTTTTTTTTTTAATAGCCTCGTTCATATCGAATAAAAGTAAAGCTTTTTACTTTCTTCTCTTTATATAACGCTTTTATGTCTCAATATATATATGTGTAACGCTTATACTTGGAGAAAAAACTTTTACAATACGATACATCGGAATTGTGGTAAGTTCTAATCTCCTTCAATTCAACCAGATCTGAACTTCCTTCTTTTTACTTGGAGCTCTTCTCCCATTTTCATCGGGCTTACTGTCGTTGTGACAAATATTCGTTCGTGGTAGGTACAATGACCGTGTGGCCTTCTTTTACAATTCATTATGATGAACTCAACAATACAAAACAGGTATTTCATTTTTTTTTTCCATTCAATTTAACCGTGTATAATTTTATTCACTTCTTTTATTTAAATTTTTGAGTTGAAATAGATATGGGATGTGATATTTTATAGAAAATATGACTGTTTTACATGATGATTATGAAAAGAAATTGATAGATTGGATAGTTAGAAAATGAAAAATAAAAAAAAAATTAAAAATTGAAAAGGTGAAAACCTTTAGATCTATAACTTTGCGAATCAACTTGTAAATCTTTATCTATGTGTAACGAACTTGAAGCTCGAAGATTTGTTTGCTCGGTGAAATTAGATATTTCTTGTTTTTCTATTCATAACTTTTGCTCTTTAGAAGTGATTTACATAAATGTATTTTGTTCAAAGTACCAGTTTTGAAAGTAACGTGTGTTTTTATTGTTGTTATTGTTTTGTTCGATATCCACTATAAATTGTACCCTTTTGTTTAGATCGGATTTGTAAGTGTGTTTGAGATTCAAAAATAATAATAAAAAAATTGATTTAAGATGCATAATTTTAATGTAATATAGATAGGGTTATAGGTGATATCTTAAATGGAAAAACAAAACAAACAAACAAAAAATATCTTTGATCTAATATTTCAAATTAAAAATATGTATTTAATTTAATTACTTTGATGGATAAAAAAGCAATAAATAATTTAAAACTTCTATAAAACTTTATGCAAACACAACCATTTATTTCAATAGCTCTTCGTGTGGTATCCTTGAAGTTGGGTCGTTGTTTGGCCAACTCTCGTATGTATAGGAGCCGGTGTTAAGCCATCCGAAATAGAGTAGATGTTAAATGAATTGAATAGACTAGTAGAGTAATTTGAGGATGAGTGACCTCCGCGAAGTCTCCCAGGGTGCGCGTGAGTGATGACAGAAGTGTGCTGAAAGGACTCGTGTTGACCTGTGAGGCCAGTCTGCGATCCCGACACGTCCGACTTTGTGTGGCTTGCTAGCCGGAGTGTCACAGTTGGTATCAAAGCCAACCTATGACAACCCACAGTCGTTGACCTGACTGTTGAGTGGCCTAGCAATTGACGATCCTTGGGATGCAACGTGGACGAAACTGTAGAGTTAAATGTGTTTGCTTTAAAGTAATTTGAGTATTAGTGACCCCTGGGAAGTCTCCTAGGGTGTGCGTGAGTGATGACATAAGTGTTGGAAGAACTCGTGTTGACTTATATGACAATTCTATGATCCCAACACACCTGGCTTTTCGTGACTTGCGGGCCGGGGTGTCATAGCCGGTATCAGAGCCGACCTACGACAACCCACATTGACCTGATTGTTGAGGGGCCTAGCAGTTGACGATCCTTGGGGTGCAATATGGATGTTGTATTTTAAAGTGGGGGACGATGTGATACCCCCTGAAGTTGGGTCATTGCTTTGCCAACTCCTGTGTGTGTATGAGCCGATGAGGCTATCCGAAGTGAATTAGAGGTTAAAAGGATTGATAGACTACTCATGTCAACAATGTGCACATTTATTTTCGGGAATCTTACCGAAAGAACTTTAGAGTTAAGCGTATTTGTTCTAAAGTAATTTGAGAATGGGTGACCCTTGGGGAGTCCTACAGGTGCGTGTAAGTGAAGACAGAAGCTCACTAGAAGGACTCGTGTTGACCTGTGGGGCCAGTATACTTTGATATTTTTTTGAGAGTTTTTTTTAATGAATAGTAAAATTTCTTTATAATGTGCCAAACAAATACACCCTAGTGGAATTTTGTCTATCTCGCGTAGAATTTTTTGCTAATTTTTTCGGAAAGTCCATAGAACTCTCAGTATGATCGAGATTAACACTAGTACCATCAGTGGCATCATTGTCACCAACATGATTTTATCGACACCCACTTTTTGTAAGAACTTAACCAAATAAATATAATCTTCATTATGAACCTTTGGCTTATAGTTTGCGATATCCTCAACTGTTTGATCTTTTATGAAAACAACACCAAAACTTTTGATAAGTTTTTTTCAATAGGATCATAACACCTATTACTAAATTCATTATCGCCATAGTCAATATAGTTGCAATATCTAGTCTGAATGAGAAAATAAAATACCCAATGTATTTTTTCCCACTTCATCATTCAATACAATGCTTTTGAAATACTCCAAATTGGCCTCCTCATTAGGGGTGGAATTGGACAGAGAGACTCTAAAATCTTCCCACGAATCAAGAACAATATTAAATAACCACAATCTTTGTATCTCATTATCAAGATTTACACCTATGCCCGATAACTTATCAAAACACTTTCGAAATTCGTTTATATGATTTGAAATGGATTTGATTTCTTGAAAAACTTCAAATAGATAGCTTTCTTGAACAGAAACAAATTGTTTCCTGTGCTTCAAACATTGTCCTCTGCCTATTTCTAATGAAAAAACATACTTGTCAATGCTCCAATGCTCATTATTCATCAATTTTATCTTTAGGTCTTGTCGTATCAAATAATAGTGCATGAAACTTCTTTAAATATAGATGATCAACAATCTTTTCTTTTCATACATGCTAATTCTTTCTATCCAAACAAGTCATTATGTTTAGGTTCACCCCTATTCTTTAATGGTGAATAATAATTCAAAACAACCAAGATCTAATACCACTTGATGTTGGAAAAGACCCGATTAAGAACAAAAAATTCCAGATTAGATAATAGTCCTACATTAGCACGCCAACAAAACAGAATAGGTAACAGTCCTTAAGTGTGGTCACACGTGAATGACAATATTTGACTGCAGTCTCTAGTTGTGGTACATCTAAGGAACCTGCACAATCCTTCACCAAAAACTACATGCCCATGTATAGAATCTAACTCTAAATGCAAAATACTATTAAAAGGAATCTGTACATACAATCCTTTAAAGTTTTTACAACTTTAAAAATTCCAAATACTAAATCTGAAAATAGTCCTTGATTATTTTATAAATAAAAATAAAACAATATATATATATATATATACACACACATATATTCAAAGGGGCTTGGTTTTTAGTTTATCCCTGATCGAACCTATTAAAAGTCACGAATGGTCTAGTGATTAGAGGGGAAACCCATTCTACGTTTTCATCATTTCTTATCTTCTTTAGGTCATTTACATCAAAGAACTTACATCTCATATGTGTCTTTGCAACACATAGGGAAGTGTAAGGGTTTCAATATATCCAATAAGTGTTGAATCCAATTAGTGTGAATTAATTATAAAATAGGCATATTCATATAAAATTACTAATATTTTGAAATACAGATATAAAATTACGAGCCTAAATAGTAAATTTATTAGTTATTATATGATTCACATTTTCTTGAAATATTGAAGTTGATTTACAATAGGGATTGGTAAGATCAGGTCCTTGTCCATAATTAGGTCTGTGATTCATTATGTTGGGTCAGTTCCGGGTAAGGTTATGTAAAATTCGGGTTGGGTCCGTATTATGTCTTGAAAAGCATATCGAATATTTTCTTTTTAATGAAGGTAAAAAAATATAGTAATCTTCATTTTCATACATTAAACTTAAAATAAATGTACTGATTATGTCCTTTGTCAAGTGAATGTTCAATAGTTAAAAGCCCTTTTTTTTTTTTTTTTTTTTTTTTTCTGGGAAGATAATTAGCAACCTTCTCCTCGAAGTATAAACATGTATATTATCTGTTACAATAATTTTTATTTTTATTTTTATTTTTTGTGGATGAGAAGAAATGCTACGTTGAATATGTTGATTTGTTTACCATGAAAGAGATCTTGATGGTATTGTGTCGAGGAAATTTCATAATGCCATATACTGCTTTTAAAATGAACATTTAGCTCTTCTATATATATATATTGATTGCATCATTTAACATAATAAATATATGTTGCACTAGAAAATTCCGAATGAATTTATAGATTGGCCTGAAGAACCATTGCCAGAAAAGGTGTGGCTTATTGACGCAAAGGAAAACTATTGGCTTGTAGCCGTGGAAAAAGTTGAGGATGAGTGGTTTTTTACAAAGGGCTGGACTCACTTTGTCAATGAAAAGAGGCTTCAAGATGCAGACATATTGATGTTCAAATGTTCTACCAAAGGCTTTTTGGATGTGAGAATTTTCCGACCCTCAGTTGGAAACACTATCTTTGAAGTTCTTCCTGAAGAGGATTGCCAAAGTAATGTTGGAAGTGTTTCAAATATTAACAATGATCAGGATAATGATAATGATAATCATAATGATAATGACAATGGTAATGATAATGATAATGGAGATGATCACTTTCATGGTGATAATGGGGAGGAAGCAAGTCATGGATGCCCTTGTTTGAGGGATGCTAGTGACTCTGATAATGCTCGAATGGCGGATGAAGATGTTCATAATGTTCGACTGACATCTGAATATATTCATAATGTTCGAATGGCAGCTGAATATGATCGTGCTCAAAGGAATAAAAAGAATAAGAAGAAGAAAACCGGTATGTTCTACACTTCATTTTTTTTTTGGGTATGTTCTACACTTATTTTTTTGCATATAAATTTTGTTTTAATTTGTATTTTATGTTTTGTATATATGTTTCAATAGTACTTTTACCTAGCATTAAACAATATTGAAATATGAGTTTTCAATGATATGTTGATTGACTAAGAGAAAACATATGCTTACATTTATCCCATGTTTTGAAATAACAAATGTCTACATGTGTGTGAGAAAGAGATAGCAAGTTTTAGAGAGAAGCTAAGTCTTTCCATCTTACTTCATCGAAATAAAGTTGCAGGGCTTCGATGGTATTTAGAAGTCTCAGAAAAGAAAGAGAATTTGATTTTCAATCACATAGAAGATTCAAAATGTAATGTCACTTATTTTTTACTAGATAATCAATGTTCCGGTGTTAGTATTGCGCTGTAACGAAAACTAGTATTCTTGAACAAAGTGTTGCTAGGAGGGTTATAGAAGAGACTAGTAGATGCTTATTTTTTGTTGATGTAAACATCCACGATAATTTGGTGATATATTTATTAGTGGTCGCATCTGAATTAGAATCTCCTAAATATAGGTTGCGAATCGAACTAGGTTAAAAAATGTTGTGCATTCTTTATTCTTTATCACACTTAAACTTAATCGGTTATTACACATTGATATACATTGTACTTACAATCACGTATTTAAATAGTTGTGCAAACCCTCTATGGTTTCAAAATTTTCATTCATATTTGACTCGGAGGAGTTAGGCATCTTATTTTCCCCATATCCAACATACTTTAAATAATTAGTTTTCACAACTTGAGTGTCGAGCATCTAATACTCTAATAAATTTGTATTGCCCAAATTTTGAGTTAAAAGAAAAATTAAATATATATATATATATAACTTTTTGTTCGACTATATCATGATTTTTCAAGATATTTTCAATAAAGAGTTAGAGTTAAGCATGTAATAAACTAAACTAAACATATCGACTATTACTTAAAAATACAACAAATTTCAATAGCAATGGTTTAAACTCTAGTATAGTAGTCAAAATTATATGTAGCTAATAATTTTATCAAATATGCTTTGAATGCTTGCGATATTTTAGTCATTATTTTACTGGTAATAGCTTAACACGATTTTACTTTATTCAAGTACTTTGTATATTTTAACTATTAATTTAATCGTAATAGCTTAATGAGCTTTTGCTTTCGAGAAAATGTGATTATTTTCATAAATATTTCTTTTCTTTATTAATAGTCTCTTTTTTTTTTTTTTTTAATAGTCGCGTTCTTATCAAATAAAAGTAACGTCTTTTATTTTCTTCTCTTTATATAACGTTTTTATGTCTCTATATATATGTTTGTAACGCTTTTATTTTCTTCTTTTTATATAACGCTTTTATGTCTTTATATATATGTGTAACGCTTATACTGAGAAAAAATATTTACCGTACGGTACATGAAAATTCTAGAAAGTTCTAATTTCTTTCAATCCAACCAGATCTAATTTTCCTTCTATCTACTTAGCTTGTAGCTCTTCTCCCCTTCATCGGGCTTACCGTCGTTGCATCAAATATTTGTTTATTGTAGGTACAAAGATGGTGTGGCCTTCTTTTACAGTTTACTATGATGAACGCAGCTATGCAAAACAGGTATTCATTCAATTAAACCTTGTCGTTTTATTCATTTTTTTTTTCTTTCTTTGAAATGGAATAGTTATTGAATGTGATATTTTTATATAAAATAGGATCGCTATACATGATATTATGAAAAGAAAATGATAATTTGAATAGTTAACAAAATGAAAAAAAGATTGAAATGTGAAAACTTTTAGATCTATGACTTGGGGAATCAAATTGTAAATCGTTATATACTTGGAAGGAACTTGAAGCTCCAAGATTTGTTTGCTTGGTGAAGCTAAATATTTCTTGTTTCTCTATTCGTAGCTTTGCTCTTTAGAAGTGATTTACATAAATGTATTTTGTTCATAATACTACTGGTTTTGAAAGTAATGTTTATTTTATTATTATTATTATTATTTTTTTGTTATTCTTATTATTTTTTCAATACCATTATAATTTGTCACCTTTTGATTCGATGAGATTTGTAAGTGTATTTGAGATTTTTTTTATTTTTTTATTTTTTTAAAAAAATTGATCTAAAATGCATAATATTAATGTACTCCTTTTGTCCGAGAAATTTAGTCTCACTTCTTTGTAAAAATACAAAGAAATGAAGCTAAATTTCCCACAACAGAGTAATATAGATAGGGGTTTAAAGGTGATTTTTAAATCGACATATATATATATATGATCTCATATTTAAAATTAAAAATATGTATTTAATTTAATTACTTTGATGGATTAAAGAAACAATAATAAATCATTTGAAACTTATATAAAACTTTATGCAAACATAATTTATTTCAATAGTTCCATCCTAAGTTATCCCTACAAATGAAATTATGACACAAAAGAGATATATATATATATATATATAGGAGGAATCCAATTCAACAATTATCCCTTTTTTTTCCCTCTTTTGACTCTACAGAGGAGGCAACTAACGTTGGGACCAACTTATACACATATTTGCATCTTTATCAAGACTCCATATTACTTCTTCGTAATATTCATACTTTCCAATATCATTCAAGAGTACATACTCAGTTGATGAATATCTAGTGAAATGTTGTCTATCTTGCGTAGAATTCTTTGTTAAACTTTTCGGGAAGTCCATAGGACTCTTAGAATGATCTAGATCAACGCTAGTATCATCAATGATATCATGGTCAACAACATGATTTTTATTTGGTGTAAGAACTTATCCAAATAAATCTGTTATTCATTATGAACCTTTGCCTTATATATTACGTTGATATCTTAATCTTCCATAAAGACAACATCACAACTTTTATTGAGTTTTTTCCAATAGGGATTGGTAAGATCAAGTCCTTGTCCATGATTATGTCTATGATTCATTATGTTGGGTTGGTTTCGGGTAAGGTTAACGTAAAATTCGGGTTGGGTCCATATTATGTCTTGAAAAACATATTGAAGTCGTGTCTAAAATCTTGACATATTATACATTATATGCCCATATTTCTTTTTACAAGGGTAAAAAATATAGTAAGCTAAGCTTCATTTTTTTACAGTTCACTTAAAATAAATGTACTAAGTCCTTTGCGAGGTGAATGTTCAATAGTTAAAACATTTTTTTTTTTTTTTTTTCTGGGAGTATTTAGAGATCGGTTTTATAACAAAAGAAAAAGAAATTATCCATAGAAAGGTAATTAGCAAACTTATCCTCGAAGTATAAATATGTATTTTTTTTAATTATTTTTTTTGTATGACTAGAACTGCTACTTTGAATATATGGAATTGTTTACCATGAAAGCGATTTGATGGTGTTGTGTTGAGGAAATTTCATAATGTCACATATTGCTTCTAAAATTAACATTTAGCCCTTCTAGATATATATATATATATTGATTGCATCATTTAACTTAATACATATATGTTGAACTAGGAAATTCCGAATGAATTTATAAATCAGCTGGAAGAACCATTGCCAGAAATGGTGTGGCTTCTTGACGTTAGGGAAAACAATTGGCCTGTGGCGGTGGCAGCAGTTGAGGATGAGTGGTTTTTTACGAATGGCTGGACTCACTTTGTCAATGAAAAGATGCTTCAAGATGAAGACATGTTGGTGTTCAAATGTTTTTCTAAAGGCTTTTTCGATGTGAGAATTTTCCGACCCTCAGTTGGAAACACTGTCATTGAAGTTCTTCCTGAAGAGGATTGCCAATGTGACAATGATGAAAATGTTGGAAGTGTTATAAATATTGGCGATGATCAGGACAATGATAATGATAATGATTATGACAATGGTAATGATAATGGAGACTATCACTTTCATTGTGATAAGGGGGAGGAAACAAGTAATGGATCCCCTTGTTTGAGGTATGCTAGTGACTCTAATACTGTTCAAATGGCGGATGAAGATGTTCATAATGTTCGAATGGAAGCTGAAGATGATCGTGCTCAGAAGAAACAAAAAAATAAGCGGAAGAAAACCGGTAAGTTCGATCTACACTTCATATTTTTTACACATGGAGATTTAATTACTTTACATAATCTATCATCATAAACATGGCTTTTTAAAACTTTTATCATATGCAAAAGTTTGGCATCTTCATACAGACCGACGTTCTTGGAAGAATTTTAATTTTCTTGATTTTTCTGAAATGTTTTTCTTATTTTGAGTAATTGATTTGATTATTAAAAAAACCATGATCTCTTAGTATAAACAAAGCATTCATAGTTATGTATAATAGTTATCTTGCTATACAAATATAATAGCTTAAAACACAAAATTCTAGGCATATACAAGATATGAAAGTACATTTTTTCATACAATTTTTGTTTTATTTTTTGTATTTTATGTTTAGTACATATGTCTTAATAGTACTTTTTACCCAGCATCAACTATATTGAAATATGTGTTTCTCAATAATATGTCGATCGACAAAGAGAAAACATATGCTTAAATTTATCTATCCCATGTTTTGCAATAACAAATGTCTACATGTCTTAAAGAATGAAATAACATGTATGATTAATGGTTTCTTACTAAATAGGTGGCAATAAGCGTAGGAGTTCGAGAAAGCGAACGAGAGAACTGTTTACAGAGCGCTATGGACTGGATATTTTTAATGCTGGTCTAGCTACATATCCTCAAAATCCTTACTTTATTCCAAAAATAACCGAGAAACGAAAGGGCAGCCTGGTAAGATTTCTTGGATTAAATCCTTTCATATGTAAGTGTTTGCTAATTAATTCTTCAATATTTAGTTGGCTACAATTTTCGGGATTGCTCTTATTTGATAAAAATACAATGCTGACATGAGAAATACATTTATTATCGGTAGTTTGTTTTGATGTTACTTACTATGTTTTGTTCGCTTATCTATAACCATTTGCTTTACATTTAGCTGAATAATAGCATATATGTAACACTCATGTGTACTGATTCGGGTAATTACAAGTAGTATTTATTATTATTATTGTTGTTAAAATAAGTGTAAATGTGATGTTTTGAAAGAACTAATTCTACGAGAGTTATTTCCTTGCAATGATTTATTCCTTCAACTACCTCAATTTTGGATATTATTTTTCTATTTTCATATAAGGCATTTTGTACACACATATATATATATATATATCTATTATGTAAAATTATTGTAGATTATTTAAATTCAGAAATTGCATTGTTGATCCTCCAATATTTTATGAACTATATGAGTTGTTCAATCAATAGATGAATTTTTTCATGATGATGGCCAAGAATCATGACCGTGTAACCTTAGTTATTGGTTTTAGTTATTATTTATTTTGTGTTGATATATCTTAAATCTAGTTTTTCATTTTCATATGCAGTATTGGGCATTGGCTTTGATATTGGGTTGAGTCCGTCTAATATATTTTCTTAGTTTATTTGAATAGACTTAGAGACATGAAATCTGTAATATGTAACCAAGCCGTCCTCATAAATTTGTTCTTCGTTTTTACCCGTAGACGTAGCCAACACGTTGTCAGTGAACTACGTAAATATGTATTTTTTTTACGGATCTGTTTGTTATTCGATCATTAATCTTAATCCGTCACAACATTTTGAACAGTAATTAATGTATATAGGTTTTTTTCTTTTTTTAAATTGCAGTATGTTCCAAGAGATTTCGTGAGAGATAATGAAGCTATAGATTTTACCAAAGTGGGAAAATTCTTCGATCCGAAAGGAAGGTCATATTCTGCTAGGTACAACCCGTTGAAGGATGGAACGATTACAATTGCTGGAGGATGGAGAAAGCTATGTGTCTTCAATGATGTCGATGATTCTTGTAAGTGTATTTGCGAGTTCATCAAGGAAGACGACAAAGTGGACATTCATGTTACCATTGTTCATGTCAATAATGACTGAGGCTAAGTTGGAGGGAGAACCCATTGCTGATCATGTAAGAAGCTAGTAGCATCCAAAACTAGCTGTGGTCTTAGCATTATTATGCACAAGTTTTATTTTGTTTGGACATCGAAGAACTTGTTTTCGATTGCTACAACTTTTGTGTGTTTGTTTGTTTGCTTGCTTAAAAGATACTTTGTTTGGACATCAAAAACTCTTTTAGAATTCCTATAACTTTTGTTTGTTTTGTTACAGTATTTTAGATTTTTAGTTTATTATATTATGTTGGTTTAGATTATCATTTGGTCTTATTCATTATGGATTAGGTTGTTTTTTAGTTGAGTATCAAGTCTATGTCATACCTATAGACCTCTATTATGATCATGCAATGCAATTTTTGAGGTTTTCAGTAAAATAATTTTAACATGTTTAAAAGATATTTTGTTTGGACATTGAAAAACTCTGTTAGAATTCTTACCTATTTTTGGAGAGACTTTGTTTGTAAGGGACTAGGAAAAAACTTTGATGCGTGGTTGTAGCCAATGAAGGTTGAGGACTACATGTATCCCTCAAACTCGACGCAACATGTGATGGCCGGAAACGATCATCTTGAAAGTTTTTTAAGTCTTTAACAGACTAATTAATAGGATCGATAGATTTTCTCATGAACTTGCAAATGACAAAACAATGCCCAGAATTTTTTTCCTTCATCAATATCAATACTTAACACTTGTAGTAGGAGAACGGATATAGGCCCGACAAGACAAGTCACTTTAGGCGAACCATGTGTGGCAGGTGACCTGAGACGTCGGAAGTTTAACTTATTTTGCAAAATTTAGTGATACAAAACTACAAGTAGTTAAATTTCATTAAATCATTTCTCGGATTGTAATATATTCAAATATTAAAGAGTTTTGTGTCGATTTAGGTGGTGTGGAGTGTACACTCGTACTATCTGTTGTGATTTTGAGATGCGCCTCCAAGCAGGGGTCAAGGTGGTCATATCCCCTTTGAAAGGTCCAAAGAAGAGAGTCTCAACTAGTAGATAATCCACACAGGCTTCGAGTAGTATTACATCTTATTCGGTATCGATTTTGCATGGATTTAATTTCTTTTCTTTTTTTTAAAAAAAAAAAAGAACAAAAAAGAGGTTGAAAACAATTAAAGATAAAAAAAATTGAATGGAATAGTATAAGAAAAGTGAAAGGAGACTGCCAATGCAAAATCCAATAGCGGGGATCTAATTAGCTTGGAGTGAGTTTTCTCAAACATAATCTCCTTTCTGGTAGCATGAAACAAAAGAAGGGGATGATTATGAAGTAACAAAGTACAAACAGGTTTATATTTTGGACGGAGCTTTATTAGAGCTGAATGAGCCGAAGGTGATCGGGTTCAATGATCCTAATTGATTCAATCTCAAAGAGGTTGAATGGTAGAGAAGAAGTCTTGAAAAGACTGTCTCAATTCATGTGTCAACTCCGTCAATAAGCTTAGGAGCTAATACTAATGTGCAAGACTGGTAGCCTAAAATTGCGACTTTAAATAATTCCAAGCTTGTGGGGCAGTGTATATACGACATAGTTGAATCTGAATATCGTGAATGAAGATACTGCGAAACTAAGTAAGAATGTGATGATTCTTACTATCTTAATCCTCCAACTTCTCCTGATAAATAGTAATAAGATAGACCAAGTCAGGTTTTGGTTAAACAGGTAAGACTTATTTGAAAAAAACTAAGAATGAACATGGCCTAATAATCTGAAATAAAAGGACCATAAAATCTGAGCATGGTCTAATAACTTGAAATATAAGGACCAAGAAATCTCAGTTGACCTATTTTTAAGTCTGTGTGGCCTACGTAACCTATTTAAAGGCCTATATAATAATTATTTTTTTTAAAATTCAATATTAATAAAAAATATATAAATAGAATTATTTATGTGTATATATAATTATAGTAAAATAAATCAATCTTATATTGGGTTATTATCACTAAATTACTTTTTTTTAGAAAAATATAAATACTTAAAAATATAATAATTTTATATATTAAATTAAATTATATATAAATAAGCACAATGAAATCCTCATAATAATATGCCACTGATTTTTTTTCAATTACAAAGCTTTTCATTGAGCCAACCCAAATATCATAATTGTCTCATGTCAGAAATATATGGCAATCATATGCTTCATAACAAATCTTCAAATCAAAAAGGAGAAAAAATAGATTTACTCGGCCTCATGTCGAGTTCAGCAAATGCAAGTAAAATCAAATTCCGAAACAGCATATGGAGCAGTGAAATAAAATAGTAGCCAAATAAAAATCTAACCACGCAATGATGTCGGAAATGAAAGCAGCAAAGTGGCGTTGAAAAACAACTTCCGGAGGTGGCCGGACGTGCCATCATGCGCAGCTGGTCACTGATTCCGGTGAAAGGAGGGGCAACACGTGATGGTCACGGCCGATGGCCGGCAAATTTCAGATACCGGCATGTTTTGAGGAGGTAAATGCTGGGATGGTGGCAATATTGACGGACGACAAGCAGACAGCGGCGAAACGAAGGTGGCGGAACGGGAGGGAGAAAAGAAATCGTAATTATGCTCTGATACCATATTAAATTTAGAGGAAAATTATGATAAATTTATTTCATAATTGGCACGATATTTATACAATATATATACAACCTAACTAAAGACAATTTGGTCATTATATATACAATAATATGCTATCGTAAGTCAACCTTCAATATAAAATATTATTTTTTATATTATCGATACAATTTTTTATATATATTATAAAAATAAATAAATATATAGCATTATTGATACAATAATAAAAGAATCAAAATCAAACTCAACCTAAAATTTCTTAGACCAACTTTAATGAATAAAGCTTAAATATTATCGAATGGTACCTAGTGTACCAACGTCGCCAAATCAACCATAATTTGGGTGTCAATTCATATTTTTAATCGGATTTATGTCTTGTTGAGTCGTGCTTATGGTAAATACATTATTTACTTTTATAAAATGTTATATCTAAATTAATTTTCAAACTTAAAAAAAAAAAAAAAAAAAATTGTTTTATAAGAACTTTTTTAACTGTGCAATCTAAATTTACTAGGATATTAGTATTTCCAACAACTTTAGGGTTATAGTATGTATGGATTCTCAACTAGGTGTGCACTAGCTAAGACCTTATAGATTTGGTTAGAAGGCAAGATCGTGTGTGTGTGCGCGTAAAAAAAAAAAAAACTTAAGTATGGAGTATATGGTCAATTCTTTTTATCTCTAATATTTTCTAAAATTATATACTCAAAATTTTGTATTTTCTTCAAAATGGTGCAGCTATTGAGTATATTTTATTAGATATAAATTTTGAAATATAACATACAATTTCAATTCTACTTTAATCAAAATATACTTTCTCCAATAACTTTTGTCCCTCTTATTTTTATTTTAGTAATCCATGTTGAGATATTTTAGATATTCAGATTTAATAGATTTATATCTAGATTTGATATTATCTATAGATTAGATTACTTAAATTTGAGTCTATCGAGTCTGTTCTGTATTGCCTATATATAGGCTCCTTATTTTGATGATAAAAAACACAATCTCATTATTTTCCTCCAAATTTTCTAACATAGTATCAGAGCACAGTTTTCCAAAACCAAAACCCTAGTCGCCGCCGCCGCTGTTCGCCGTCCATCGTCCGCCCTTCTCCGGACGTCATTTTTCAGTCGCCGCCTCCTGCTTTTGTTCCCTACGTCGTGGTGTGGTTGGTTTTGTCATCGGACTTTATTCGTTTTGCGACTGTTACCGATTGAATTGTTCGATCTAGTTTCTTGATTTGGGCTTTGATTTCGTGATTCACATATTTTTATACGTTTTTTTTTGTTATGGAGCATATGGACGTTCATTTATCTATTACTACTATCTTGTCTAGCGATATCCGACCACCTGTCTCCATCTCCTTTTGTGCATGTTGATCCCACCTCTCGGGAGCACGATGATTATGTTGCCAAATTGGAATATTGGGATAGTAAAAATCATCAGATTCTTACTTGGTTGTGCAATACTTCTGTACATGCGATTCAGGTACAATTGACTCCTTTTGATACTGCAAAAGAGGCATGGGATTTCCTCGATTCTCGCTTTCAAACTATAGGTCTTGCTCATTATTATCAGCTTTGGACCATGCTGAGCTCCGCCCGACAACAACTTGGTCAGTCTGTTAATGCGTTTCATGCTCAGATTCAGCCTATTCGTTATTGTCTCTTGCATTCACAGATTACTCAGGACCATCTTGACCTTATTCAGATCCTTCGACCTGAATATAAGGTTGTTCGTGTCTCACTCCTACATCGACGTCCATTGTCTACTCTTGATGTTGCCATTCAGGAGATTACTTTTGAAGAGACCTGTCTCCAATTGGCTAAGACACCAAGTTTTGATTATGCTTTAGCTGTGTCTCGCCAATCCCGATCTACTCGTACTGGATGTCGAGTTTGCAAGTCTCCTGATCACACTTGGTCCACCTGTCCGAAGATTGAGTGCCACTTTTGTCATCTGCGTGGTCATATTGCTCTGGTCCGTCCCACCAGATCTCAGCGTTCAAGTAGTTCTGCTCCTAGACATTCCAATAGCTCTGCTCCCAAACCTCGGGAGCCTAATGGATCTTCTTCGATTGCTTCTTCTACGATTAGAGCTGCTACAACTGATGAGACTCGGCATTCGTCTTACAATCCTCACGACATAGAAGCCATCATGAAACATTTATGCAAACCAATTCTGCTATGTCTACCACTCCAGGTACATCTACTTGGTATTTTGATTCTGGTTGTTGTCACCACATACCTCTAACCCTCGCAACTTGACCTCTATGTCTCATGTCTCCCATTTACCACCTATACATACTGCCAATGGTACTACCATGCATATTACCCACACCAATCTTGCGTCCTCCCCCTCCCTACATCTTCCTAATACATATTACATCCTTGACTTAATATTAAATCTTCTCTGTTGGTCAATTAGTTGAACAAGGTCTTACCGTTAAATTCTCTTCTGGTGACGTGCAGGTTCAGGATTCTCAGACGGGTCAACTTCTCGGGACGGGACACAAAACGGGTCGGTTATTTGAGCTTGAGCCTCTCCATACTTCCTGCACATATCCCCGCTCTGCAGCTCTTGCTTCTGATTCCTTTAGTCTTTATTGGCATCTTCGCCTAGGTAATGCGTCTTCTAGTAAGCTCTAGTCACTTCATACTAAAGGTCTTTTGAGTCCAGGTCATTTTAAGTCTTTTATTGTGTCGATTGTAAACTTGGCAAACAACCTGCTCTTAGTTTTTCAGAAAGTTCATCTATTGCTACTAAACCTTTTTCTTTAGTTCATTCTAACATTTGGGGTCCTTCTCCTGTTGCGTCCGTCAGTGGTTTTCAGTATTATGTTATATTTATTGATGATTTTTCACGATTTACTTGGATTTATTTTTTGAAAAATCGTTCTGAATTGCCCTCTATATATGCTCAGTTTGCTCAGATGATTCACACTCAATTCTCTCGTCCTATTAAAGTCTTTCGTACTGATAGTGCTTGTGAGTACAATACGTCATCATTTTTGTAGTTTTTATCTAGTAAGGGTACCTTGGTACAATATTCTTGTCCTTACATGTCCCAACAGAATGGGCGGGCAAAATGCAAACATTGTCACATCCTCGACACTGTTTGTGCCCTCCTTCTTTCTGCTAAGTGTCCTGATCATTTTTGGGGGAAAGCAGCCTTAACTGCTGTTTACAGCATTAATCGGTTACCCTCGTCAGTCCTCTATGATGTCAATCCCTTCGAGCGTCTATTTGGTCAATCCCCTGATTATAGTTTGTTCCATCCTTTGGTTGTGTGTGCTTCGTCTTCCTCCCTCCCCATGAGCGGACAAAGCTTCAACCTCGAGCTCGTTTATGTTGTTTCTTGGGTTATGGCGACGAGCACAAGGGTTATAGATGTTGGGATCCTATTTCTAATCGGTTGCGCATATCTCATCATGTCACTTTTTGGGACTGCACATATTTCTCCACCTTATCTAAGTTTAGCACACAATTTCACTCATTTTCTCCATTCTTTTTCTCAAATCTCTTCCCAGACACCTCTTTCTCTTCTTCACCACAGCTCATTGATCAATTTGTCTTGTCACCGTCTCCTGGAGTTGATCCGTCTGTGCCTTCTGAGCCGACGTCTACTCCTACGCCTCTCCCTACTTGTCGTCACTCCACTCGTGTAAGTAAACCTCTTTCTCACCTTAATGATTACCATTGTTACTCTGTCATTTTATCTCAACATGAACCTAAGTCCTTTTGTGAGGCAAATGCTGATCCATTACGGCAGCAAGCTATGACTGAGGAATTGCAGGCTTTGGAAAAGACTCACACTTGGGATTTAGTGGATTTGCCCTCAGGAAAAACCCTATTGGGTGCAAGTGGATTTTTAAAATTAAGACACACTCTGATGGTTCCATTGAGCGCTACAAGGCTTGTCTGGTGATCAAAGGTTATTCCCATGAGTATAGAATTGACTATGAGGAGACCTTTGCTCCCGTTGCTCATCTCACTATTGTTTGTTGTCTTCTTGTCGTTGCGGTTGTTCGTCAGTGGTCCCTTCTTCAGTTAGATATCAAGAATACATTCCTACATGGCACACTTTTTGAAGAAGTTTATATGACCCCTCATCCAGGTTTCTCGTCTTCTGAAAAAGTTTGTCGTTTACGCCATGCTTTATATGGGTTGAAGCAGGCCCCTCGGGCTTGGTATGCCACATTCAGCGCTGCACTATTGGAGTTTGGTTTACTACATGTGCTTACAACTATGGTTTATTTAATCGTCGTTCTTTATCTGGGATAGTTATACTCTTGTTTTATGTTGATGATATGATCATCACGGGAGATGATGCATCTGGTATTTCTAATCTACAGGCATATCTTAGCCAGCAGTTTGAGATGAAGAGCTGGAGTCCCCTTTGTTACTTTTTGGGGCTTGAAGTCTCTGATTCTTCCGATGGTTACTTTCTGTTCCAAGCTAAGTATGTCTCCGATCTTCTTGCTTGAGCTGGTCTCACAGGCTGTCAGGTAGCATCTACACCACTTGCCTATGACGTTCGACTTACCCCTCATGATGGCTCTTTTCTTGATGATCTTACCCTTTATCGTCAGCTTGTTGGGAGCTTGATCTATTTGACTGTCATTCGACCAGATATCGCTCATGCAGTCCATATTGTGAGTCAGTTTATGGCAACTCCGAGGACCTCTCACCACTCTGCCGTCTTACATATTCTTCGTTATGTGAAATGTACTTTTCTACATGGCTTACACTTCTCCTCTAACTCGTCCTTGACTCTCAGCGGTTACTCTGATGTTGATTGGGCTAGTGATCCCACTGATCATCACTCGACCACTGGTTTCTGTTTTTTCTTGGGTGATTCTCTCATTTCTTGGCTCAACAAGAAGCAAACTTTAGTTTCTCACTCGAGTGCCGAGTGCCGAGTATCGTGCTCTTGCTGACTCTACTTCAGAACTTTTATGACTTCAACGGCTACTCACTGATCTTCGTGCCCCTCAGCCATCTTCTACGGCTCTTCACTGTGATAGTCAGAGTGCTATGAAGATGGCCCATAATGATACCTTCCATGAGCGCACCAAACATATTGGGCTTGACTATCACTTCATTCGACAACATATTGTCAATGGAGTAATCATCTCATTTCAGTATCCTCTGAAGACCAAACAACAGATATCTTCATCAAATCTCTTCTTCCAGGCCGCTTCCGATTACTCTCGGACAAACTCAAATTGGTCTCTACGGCCCCATCTTGAGTTTGAGAGGAAATATTGAGATATTTTAAATATTCAGTTTTAGATTTAGTAGATGTATATTTAGATTTGATATTATTCATAGATTTGATTACTTAGATTTGAGTCTATCGAGTCTGTTCTGTATAGTCTATATATAGGCTCTTTATTTTGATGATAAAAAATACAAACTCATTATTGTCTAACACTCCATATTTTTTCTATCTTATCATAAAGGATAAAATTGTTAATTCATAAAATAAAAAAAAATAAAAATAAAAATCTAAAAAATTATAGCAATATAATTTGGAACAATAGAATTTGTACGGATGGAAGTATAAACTATTACCCAACAACATCCCAAATTCTCAATTCAAACAAACTTTGATCCAATATATATATATATATATATATGCATATATGTGTATTTTTCATTCATTCACAGGCCACACATATACAGCCTTTGATTTATCCCCTCAACCCCACACTACTGACCCTACACTACACTACACTTTCCTTTCTTCAGACCATAGAAATTGTGGCCATAAAAGTCAAGAAAAAGAGACACAGATAATCCCTAATCTAAAAAACAGGCAAACTGAAATAAATTCCTTGGACAAACATGAACAAAAGAAATCTGGAAAGTTTTCCTCTTTCTTTCTTTCTATCAGTATTGTTATTATTTTTTTTTTATCAGAATTAGCCTTTTGTACAAATCCAATCGAATATAAATTAAATGACCCATAATTAATAATTAATTTCTATATGGTCTATTAATTGCATTATACTAATAGACCTTTGGCCTATTTGGCAGTTTTGAAAGCACAGAAGAATGCCTTGTAATGAACGTAAACAAACAAAGCTGCTGCTGCTCTTTTACTACTACCTATAATATTATTATACCAGTAACTGATAGTCTGATACCCCTCTCTCCCTCTCTCTATATTTCTCTCTCTCTCTCTCTCTCTCTCTCTCTCTCTCTCTCTCTCTCTCTCAAGAATTCATAAATCATCACAAGAATCAGCCTTGCCATTGCATTCTTCAGAGGTGATTGTTTATTTATTTATATATTTCTGTTTTTGGAGTAAATTAGCAGAAATATAATGGGTATGTATGTATGTATGTATGTATGTTTCTCTTTAAGCTAATTAAGGTTTTGTTTGTTTTCAGTGGCAATTAATTTAGCAGCAGCTATGGGATCAGTGAAGAGGGAGGTGTTGTTGGGGATTGCTCTTAAGTTTTTGCTGGTAATTCAATCATCATGTGCAGGTGCAGCACCAAGTAACCAGTTGAGTTTCTCTTCCACTTCAATTTAATTTAATTTGATTTTGTTTGTAGTTCCACTTTTCATCATTTCATTTTTTTTATTTTTATTTTTTTGCATGAGATTGATGTGTGTGTGTCTATTTTTTCAACTAAATTATTACATTTACAGTAATGATAGATGCATTATTGATCCAATTACTGAAATACTAATATATTGGAACTCAATCCACCATTCTTTTGCGGGTTTCTTGCAAAACAAAATTAGAAGCTTAGGTTTTTTCTTTGTTTTTATTTTTATTTTTTTTTATGTATATAGGTGGTGTTTAATTTCTTTAGTTGTTTGACATGCACGCATCCACAGCCAGCACTTTTTCAATTTCTGGAATTCTTTTACCAATTGTTTGAATATTAATATTAAAGGAAAAAATGAAACACAGTATATATATTATGTATATATATATATATATGTGTGTGTGTGTAAGAATTTATAGAATATGTAGAAGTAAATTAAAGAAAGAAACCGAAAGTGCAGCCCAGATGGTTCTCCATGTCCATTTAATTTCTTCTATCGAATCTTGTCTCAAAAGCTCTCTTCTCTCTCTCACTCTCTCTCTCTCTCTCTCTCTCTCTCTCTCTCTCTCTCTCTCTCTCTCTCTCTCTCTCTCTCTCTCTCTCTCTCTCTCTCTCTCTCTCTACACATGCAGTCTCATATATATATATATGGGAGTGTGATGCGTGTGTGGTCATCTCTATCAATATACGCAGTAGAAAGGGAAAGCGAGGTAATCGATGATACCCCACAGTTACTACGCTCCCGTGATCACCTCACCTCACCTCACCCCACCCACCCCAGAGATTTATTTCACGTAGCCTCATTCTTCCTATGTAGTATGTGTGTGTATATTCTCTTGTTTGCACTCGTCTTTATCGTTTATTTGTCCTAATGCTAACAATATTTCTCTTAATGCAAAGATAAATCATTAGTGAATGAGCCCATACGAAATTTGTTAAAATATTCGTGAAAAAATTATAAATCAAACCATCCTATCATCAACATGTGTTTCTTTGGCTCAATTATTACCTATGTTAAAACCTTGTCCAAAAATTTGGATGTATTTTTTACCGTGGAATAATTTTTATCGAGCCTCACGAATTACACTATGTATTTAATTTGCTCCCTCCTTGAGTTTCTACGAGATTCAACATTGATAGTTATAAATTAAAAGATTTTAGGGTGTGTTTTGCTTTGATAGAAATCAATACATTTTATATTGCAAATATTGTGTATCAGCACTACTGTTGAAATAAAATTTTAAATTAATATTTTATTTTAAATTAATTTCAAATCATAATCAAATAAATGATGTATTATGAAGCTTAAATTAGAACCAATTTTGATTTGATTATCACTTTGCTGAGTTGTATGGTATGTCGTTGCCCAGGCAACAAGTGAGGTCCAGGGGCAATGCCCGGCCCCTTTGTGGCCCCGGTGGGGGTTCGGGGCCAACGCCTCCGAACCAAACCGGATGGGCTGGGTCCGTTGTCGATTTTGACTATCGGTTCCCTCTCTGCAATTGATACCTGGTTTGTCCGACTAGACATAGATCATCGTAATTGAATTGGATTATTAAATTTTTGTGTTCTTGTATGTTCTTTTTGTTGAATATTGTCCCACATTGGTAAATATATGGAAACTCCCCTACTATATAAGAGTGAAGGGTCACTTCATCTATCACCAATCGGTTTTAAGTTGAATGTCCGGATCCCTTAACATTTTCTAATTTTCGCAACAACAAACTCTTAGTTTGTGCAACATTTGCTTGTTGAATGTTGATTATTTCAATGACAGGAGGATCTGCAAGAGCAACAACGACGACGATGATTCAATGTATTATCCTCCGGTTCAATTGCACGAATTGGAAGACCATGTATGGTTATTTCGATAGCTTTTTTTTTTTTTAAAATACAATATCTTTTTATCAGTATAGTTTTCCTGTTTGTACTCGTATTCCTAAATTATTTTTTACAATATTGATGAGCTTTTAGGAAGAAAGTTGTGTTCATATAACTTGATAATAAATCGATCAAGTTTGCTAATCAATCATATTAATCAATGTACCAAGAATCTGCTTTTAGTTTTGTTTCAATTTTAATTAGGTGGTGTTGGACAATGGCATTCTCAATGTTACTTTGTCGACTCCGGGGGGTATGGTTACAGGAATAGAGTACAACGGTATCGACAATTTATTGGATTACAACAATGAAGAAAACAACATGGGGTATATCTATATCTACTGATATTGATATTTATATTTATATAATGTTCTTGAATGATACAGTTCTAATTTCGTTAATGTAGGTATTGGGATCTAGTTTGGAGCAGCCCTGATCATCCACACGATGTTTTTGACAAGTAAGTCGATTTTGATTAGTTTATGTTTCTAGAAAATTGGTTCTAACAAGCATAGGCTATTTATGTTTGTGCCGGAAAAATGTTAGAGCAGTTGCGAAGAAAGTTCATCGTCTATCAGAATCAAGCAACGTCGATTCTAATGTTAGAATCCAAAGTGTCTATTAGTTTCTTTGGGTGTGTTTATTTTTGGGCGATGAGGATGGATAATATTATTTTTATCAACCTAATTATATATTTACTATGCATTATTATACTTTGAAATGAAATAAAGTCCGGATAAATGATAGCATAATTAAGGATTACATAATACCATTTTCGTCAGCTTCTAAAGAACCTTACATATTTAAATATTAACACGCTAAAAAAAGTAAATATGATCTTAGATCACGAACAGATGGAGTAGTATTATTAATGTTAAATGGATATTTTAATTAGGTTTTCTTTTAAAAAAAAAAAAAAAAGTTGACTTGTTATTAATTTTATAGTATATAATAAAAGGTATTTAAGAAAATTTAATAATCTTATGTAATAATCAATTAAATAGATGAATAAATGTTATTTACTATTTATTATTCCATCTGTTATGGAAATGTGTGCTCACTTGGCCGGACACGAGTTTTAGTAAAAATGAATAATAATTATTATTTTTTTCTTTTATAATAAAAAAAAAAGTGAAAAGTATAATGATTTTTTACTTAAAAAAGAAACGAGAATATTTTTTTTATGACAACCCAAAAAGGAAAGTGAGTCTATACTTGAATGTCGGATGGAGTATAATTTTATCCTTACAAAGTAACCACACTTTTTATATATGTACTTCCTAGCTGGATACAAATGTGTAATACTATGTATTATAATATCATCCTACAAAATAAATACACCTTTTATGCACGTACCTCCTACGTAACTTATATTTTACGACCGAGATTTAGATGGAACAAATGTATATTAAAATAATACTATGTATTATAGTCTTGTACAACAAAATAAACATATTTTTGTGTACATACCTCTTGTGTAACTTATATTTACGATATTCCAGGCTAGATGGAACAAATGTGTATGTCGTGATTGAAGACGAGAGCCAAGTAGAGCTCTCATTCGTAAGGATGTGGAATTCTTCGCAGACGGGATTGTCCCTCAACATAGACAAAAGGTGCATTTCTTGTAAGTCTTGAGCTTAGTCGATTTGATCTTTTATATTTATATACACATATACTAATCCGAGTTTTGTTAACTTCCCCATATTCTTAAGGTTGGTGATGCTTCGCGGCTGTTCTGGATTTTATTCGTATGCAATTTTCGAGCGTTTGGAAGGCTGGCCCGATGTCAATATTTCTCAAGGACGAATCGTATTTAAGCTGCAACAAGACCTGTAAGAACACTCTTGCATCAGTTTTTTAGATCAAAGTTTTACTGATTCCAATAATATCCAAACAATATTGTTTGGCATTTGTTTAGATTCCAATACATGGCAGTGTCCGATGACAGACAGAGGATTATGCCGACAAGTGAAGATCGTAAGTACGGCCTGGTTCTTGACTACCCGGAAGCTGTTCTTCTTACAAATCCAGCCAATGAATTTCTCAGAGGAGAGGTTGTTCCTTTCAGCTTAGAAGAATACTAAGTTAAGAATTTTTTGCGCTGACAACATCGTGTTGCAGGTAGACGATAAGTATCAATACTCGAGCGAAAACAAGGATAACCGAGTGCAGGGGTGGATATGCTCCAACCCTCCTACCGGATTTTGGATCATCACTCCCAGCAATGAGTTTAAAAATGGCGGACCTGTCAAACAAGATCTTACGTCGCACGCAGGTCCAATCGCGCTTTCGGTGAGTATATTATCCTTTACATACTCTCGAGTAGAAATTTTTTTTTCTATTTTCTTCGATAAGGTATCCTTGTGTTGCAGATGTTCTTTAGTACTCATTACGCAGGGGCGCCATTAATACTCGAGTTTCGCCATGGCGAGCCGTGGAAGAAGGTCTTTGGCCCTGTTTTTATTTATGCAAACTCGGCTGCCCAAGGTGAAGATCCTCTTACGCTGTGGACAGACGCCAAAGAACAGGTGCTGAATATAGTGTATAATTACGTCGAAGATGGTTGTTTTTTTAAAAAAAAAATCTTCGAAGTCTATCCTAACATTATGTTAGAAAATAGAATCATTTTTTTTTTTTCGAACAGCTTAGGCTTTGTTTTTTCAATTATTTATTTTCACACATTTTCCCAAAAAAATTATAACACATTCATTATTTTTTATTCTATATACAACTCCCCGTACTTCATATCAAAAAAATTTCTTTCCAACAATCTCACAAAACAAATACATTTTTAATGTTTATTTCGGACATTTGTTCTATGTTAGATGCTTGCAGAAACAGAGAGCTGGCCGTATGATTTTCCATTGTCCAAAGATTTCTCTTTTGCCGAGCAGAGAGGTTCGGTGACTGGCCGGTTGTTGGTTCGCGATAGGTGTTTCTCAAACCATCGTACTAAAAAAAAAAAAATTATAGCGTGGAATTTCCTTGCCTAATTTGCGAACTTTTCAACTTGTTTCCAGTTACATTAGCGCTGAAAGGCTTATAGCCGGATCGTCTGCTTTCATTGGATTAGCTCCTCCGGGCGAGCCTGGATCGTGGCAACAAGAAAGCAAGGTTAATCTTTATAACTCGACAGAAAAAAAAAAAAAAAAAAAGAAAAAAGAAAAATCTTACATGGATTTGAAGTTGTAATAAAGCTATCCCTGTTTAACAACAGGGCTATCAATTCTGGACCGAAGCCGATGAGAAAGGGTACTTCACAATCAACAATGTTCGAGCTGGAAATTATAGTCTTTTCGGTTGGGTCCCTGGATTCGTCGGCGACTATAAATACGACGCAGAAATCAGCATTCTACCAGGTTCGAGTATTCGCAGACAGTATGTTTTACCTTAAAAACATGAAAACTAATATAGCTAAAATGTTTCGGCGTTCTTGTCTTAAGGGTGCAAGATTCGGCTTGGAAATCTAATATTCGATCCACCAAGGAATGGTCCGACTCTATGGGAAATAGGAGTACCCGATCGAACAGCTGCTGAATTCTTCGTGCCTGATCCAAACCCGACTCTTATGAACCAATTATACATCAGCGAGTCGAACAAGTGAGCTTGTCGACATGATTAATACCATATTCATTATGTTTACATTTTTCTTATGTGTTTACACTTCCTATTCGAATTTTCAGCCGGTTCAGGCAGTACGGCTTGTGGGATCGCTACACGGACTTGTACCCCGACCAAGATTTAGTATATGTAGTCGAAACGAGCAGTTTTCAGACAGATTGGTATTTTGCTCACGTCAACAGGTACTTCTTCGAACAATATGGATATATTTATGTACTATGTAGACTATTGTTGATATGAATGAACTAACTGAGTTAATTCAACACCAGTATGATATTGTTCATTTTTTGCTGAGTCCAAATTTGCTTTTAGATTTCTCCAAAAGATTTCATATCAATGGAGTTATATGTAGGACGAATTATAAGTTGTGGGTTCTTCTTCTAATTTTTTAATGTGACTTAAATTTGCATCCCAAAATTATGTATTGTTAGTTATTTATTATATTTCTATTATATTAATATAAATTTAGTATTGTCAACTTATAATTTATATGTTGTTTGTTTATTATCATTGTGTTGTCAACACAGTACTGAAAATTTACTAAGAAAAAAAGACTAATATTCTTACATATTCACTAACATATTGTGATGTAGAAACATCGGCAACAAAACTTATATAGCAACAACTTGGAAAATATTGTTCAATCTTACGAGCGTGGATGAATCTGCGAACTACACCCTTCGACTTGCATTGGCATCAGCTCATGAAGCAGAGCTGCAGGTATGAAATATACGAATCGTGTACGATGCAATGCATAAAAATGGTAATCTTACATATGATATTTTTTTTTAGGTTCGAATAAATGATGAAACAATGATAGTCCCAAGTTTTACGACGGGGCTAATAGGCAAGGATAATGCCATTGCAAGGCATGGAATCCATGGGTTGTATTGGTTGTATAGCATTGGCATACCATCGAGCTGTTTTCTTTCCGGCGACACTAATGTAATCTTTTTAAGACAGTCGAGAGGGTCGGGCCCTTGGAGCGGCGTCATGTACGATTATATTCGACTCGAAGCTCCTTCACCGATGAATAATTAGTGTTTATAGCAAAGCCGGCTCTTAGCAGGGGTAACCTGAGCACTTGCTCAAGGTCTCTGCATCGAGGATCCATATTTTTTATTTTATCTTACTATTATTAAATATATTACAATTTAATTTAAATTTTATCCCTTATTTTTCTTAACTATTACTCAATTTAATTTTAGTTCTAAAATTAAATTATAACCCTAAATTTTCTAAAATTAATTTTATCTTCCTCGCCTTTAAATTTATAAATATTTTTAAAGTGCATTATTATTATTACATATATTAATTATTAAAATTATATTTAAATTTTATCTCATATTTTTCTCTACAATTATCTAATCCAATTCTAATTCTAATAAATTTTAAATAGAATTTTTCTAAAATTAATCTCAAATTCAATTATAATTTTAATAAATTTTAACTAGATTCTTTAAAAAGTTAATCATATATTCTTCACATTTAGAATTTATACTTATTATTATTGAAGTATTTGTTTTAATAGTCAAGATATAATAAAATTTTATAATAGTCGATATGTATCGCAAACTACATCTGGCAATCCACTTCACACCATTAAAAAAAAAAAAAATTATAGGGTTTATTATTTATTTTTTGCTCAGGGCCTTGAAAATATTTGAGACGGTCCTGGTTTATAGATATGTATATGCAAAGAAATAGAGAGATTTGACTAGATATAGTGGATAATTTTCATGTGATGTTTTTTGAATGAAAAATATAAAGGATTTTTGGCATTAGTATAGGTTATTATAGTGAAAACTAATACATCTATTTATACAAGAAACTCAAAAGAGATTGGAATATTTTAGCTTTCCAACATTAGATTTTGTGGTTTGGTTTTGTGTTTGGAATTCAAGAATAATACTAATAATTTAATTTAATAGAATATTTGATATTACATAAATATATACTAGTATTAGATAATACTAGTATATTTTTTATGGGACAAAAAAATAAACATATTTATTTCTTTTTTAGTATTTACGAATCTCACAACATATTACAAATAACTTCTTATTTATTCTTATTTATGTCAATACTATACACTTACAATCAATTTTACACATCATAATGATAGAATAGTATTTACATATTAATTAAACTATAATCACCTATCGTCAAAATAAAATATTTATTAAATTCCATAAAAAAAAATAAATTTATATTTATAAAATGGGTGAACTTGAGCAATTTTTAAGTAATTTTAAATTTTAAAAAAAATATATTTTTTAATAATTTTGAGGCATAATAATAGTAGTAATAAAAATAATAATTCTACATTGGTAACCCGATCATTCAATATTTTTTTTAAAAGTAAATTATTTTTTATCACCAGAAAATTTATATACCATTAATTGATTAAAATATAATTATGAAAAAATCAATTTTGGTTTCAATATAACTAAAATTTATCAATTTTGATTTCAATATAAAAAATTCATCAATTTTGGTCCCATTATAAATAATTTCAATCAATTTTGGTCCTACCATTAAAAAACTAACGAAAATTGCCGACGTAAACATAACGGAGGTGACGTGGGCAGTTGACCTGGAAAGTACACGACCATATACATTTATACACGGTCATGTTGTTAGACAGACATATACTCCCTCGGTCTCATAACAAAGTATTCATTTTTCTATTTTAGTCTGTCTCATAACAAAAGTATCAATTTCTTTTTTTAGTAACTGTACTTTCTACCTAACATTACAAATACCTTTACAACTTACAATATATTACACAAATGTCGTTAGTTTTATATCACACATACTAATAAAGTTATTTTAGTCATTTCTATTTTATTCCTATTATATCCTAATATAATACTAATGTTTCTAAAACTACGTGCAAAAAACAAATGGATACTTAGTTTCGGGACGGAGGGAATATATTTCAATGTATAATTATGCATAATCATGTTGTTACACAGTCATATATAATTTGCAAATATAAATTATTTTAAATGAAAACTTTTTTACGTGAAGTTTAGAAAATGATGTAAATAATATATAAATAATGAATACATATTGTATATTAATTTTTTTAGAAAAATATATTAAAAAACAAGCTCCTATTAATTATAAGTATTTTTTAAAATGAAAGACATATTTTAGTTCAATTTAAATTGGCTGAACCATCGGTAAGTAGTGCTCAATGATCAAATATTTAAATGTGTCTTATATTATTACTCAACTCCATCATGGTGTCTACAAGGTGTGGGTGTGTTTGTTTGTTTGGTTATTTGGATTTTTTTTTTAAAATTTAAATAGTAAAAATTTAAATTTAAAATAATTCTAGGATATTATATAAATAAATGTTAAAATTGTGTTTTAATATAAAATTAATTTTTTTATTATAATATAAAAATTAAAACATATATATATTTAATTTGATATTTTAAAAAACATAAATAAATAATAAAATTTGAAAAATTTTGACTATATATAATTATATATCGTGGGTGAAGCAAAAGCAACACCGAATTAATATCGGTAGTCCATTATCGGCGCGCGTGGAAGGATGAAATATTATAATAATAATAGTAGAAAGAAAAAGATCCTATTAATGCGGACCACATACACCCGGCTATTTCTGGTTGCCCTCCATTTTCAAATATCATAAAATTAACACTTGTAACAACCATAGTGTATTTTTCAACCCATTATCTCCATTTATCCAGTTTTAATTTTAAATATGCAGTTGCTACAGTAATTTTACTCCAATCATAACTCCACTTTTTACTATTATTCTTCAAATATTAAATTTTTCTTATTATTTTAAACAACTTTTTATTTTTATAATTTAAAATAAAATATAAAAAAAATTTAAAAAATAAAAATTAAATTTATAATTTTAAAAAATAAAAAAAATAAAAAAAAAATGGCGGCAAACTCTAAATTTGGTGCTAGGAATGGCGCTGGATTGGAGCAGCTCGACGGCAAAAATGGTATTGAAACGTTAGATATGGAGCATGGTTGGAGATGGCCTAAAGTGTAGAGAATTTTTATATCTAATTTCAAAAATTAACAATATAATGATTTTTATTTTGAGAATTAAAGAATAGAGGCTCAACTGAAGCAGCCTCGTAAAATAGAGGCGCCTCTCAAATTTTCCTTTCATTTTTTTTCTCCGTTGAAAAATGGGGTTAGAACAAAATTTCTTCTAACACCAAAAAATGATCAACTCTTTGAAGCATGGTAAACTCACAGTAATAGCAACATAGTATCAACGAAATAAACGTAGATGCTCCAAAACAAATAAATGATACTCCCTTCGTCCCGTGAAAGATGAATTTTTTTTGTTAGAGATGCGGTATTTTAGGTAGTGTAAGTTATTAAGTTATTAATAATAAATTATGATAATATTTTATTATTTTTTATATGTGTAGTATTGTTGATATTTTAAATATTTTTAGAATTATATCTCAATAAAATATATATAATATGGATAGACAATAAAATTTTATATAATACACATGAATAAAAAAATATACTTATTATTTATTTATCATTACCATAAATTAGTTTTATAAAAAAATGAGAAGTTTGGGTTTTGAGTAATTCCTACGTGTAAGAAGTTAGAAGTTTAATTAAATTGATTTATATTTATTAAGTATATTTAAAATTGATAAACTTATCGAACTAGGTCATTTTTTGTAGACGCATCAAAAAAAAAAAAAAAAAAAAAGAGGATCATTTGTGGCGAGACGAGGGGAATACAATAGTTTGTTGTATTTGTAATCTACAGACAATCGGCGCAGGTAGATAAAAATTTTGTTTATATGTCAAAATAGAAAATAGGAATATTTTCATTTAACATTTTCTCTCTCTTTCCTATATTCTCTTTTTCTTTGTGTCATATTTTATTATCATTTTCTTTTAATTTATATATAGTATAAAAAATAATTTAAAGAAATACTATAAATTATACTTTGTTTTATATTACTTTCAAATTAAAATTATTATTATTTTATTTGTATATTTTTTTATCAAAATATTATATTAAAATATTATTTTAAAAAAAAATTAAATCAAAATCAAACAAATTCATTATGTGAGAGTGAAATAATTTTAATAATTTGTTTAAAAAATAAAATTTTCTTAAAAGATATGTATATTATTTGTCGATTTAAAAATAATATAAAAGTAAAAATAAACAAAAAGTCAAAAAAATTAAAGTATTTAATTTAAAATAATATATTTTATATCTTTCGCACAATTTCTCATATCACACACCAAAAATCAATTCATCTAAAAATCAATTCATCTAAAAACGTTTGGTTGGTGAATAAAGCCATATGTTGCTCTTGGAAATAAACAAATACCTTCCTATGTATGTAACGTAATTTATTAAATTTATATTTTAGAATAAACAAATTCAATATAAATATAAAATTTATTTATTTATTTAATAGTAATGTAATAGAAAGAAGATAAGATTTGATATGGTGAAAAACTAAAGTCCCTTTGCTTGAAAATTTTGGATTAAAGGCCTTTTAAATCACTACATTAAATTCATTAATTCTAATTGACATTATCATATACTCATATCTAGATATCATGTCCACGTTGCTGTTTCTGTTCGTCTCACATACCATGTCACTTTCTTTTTTGAAAAATAATTATATACTTTAATCTCATTTAAAACTGTTTATTTTTTTTAAAAAAAAAATTAATTAAACTAATCAGTTATCTTAATTTTAATTTATAATTATTTATATTATAGGATAATTATTTTCACTAATATATTTTTAATTATCTACTAATTACACCCCTCCTAACATACCGTATCTATAGTGTAGCGGACATGGTATCCGGGAATGATGGAGTATTTTGAATTTTCTTAGTTATTTATGGATTTTAAATCTCCAAAATTAATTGCAATTTGAAATTAATTGACCCCTTATGATATTTTAAATATTCTTTAATATTGATTTCAATTATTTACTACCACAAAACAATATATTTTAATTATGAAATATTTGTAATGGAGAATTCAAATTTATTCATTTACCATTCACATTGAAGCCTAAACTTATCCAATCAAATGGACCCTAATATAATTATTTTATTGTAAATGACCTAATAGGGTTTTTAAAATGTATTGCATGTGTTGGAAAAATGGGGCAAATAAACTATTTAAGTCTAATATGAACTAAATTTCTAAAATTGCAGACGGTTTGCACAAATATTCTATGTATGATTGTTGCAAAAAAAAAATTGCAAAAAATATCAGTAACGTATACTCAATTATTATTTTTGTCATTTATTTATTTCATTCGTAAAATACATTATATATGTTTGCAAAATATATTTATCTCGAACGAGTTCAAATTTATTCGCGAATGGTTGATTTTGTTTGTTCAAAAAAATTTAATTAATATTTTATAATATTATACTTCTCTGTCCACAAACTAATGTTCTACTTTTCTATTTTGGACGTCCAACGATTATTGTCTATTTCCTTTTTTAAATACAAATTTTACATTTTTACCCTTTATGTATTTATTATTTTGCATCTCTATCATACAATTAAGAGCAAATTTGTCAATTCATAAAAAAAAAAGACAATTACCTAAAAAATCGTGCAAATATACTTTAGGACAATAGAAATTGGAGGAAGAAATTACATAATTTCAATTTTTATATAGGAATGTTGATAAATACTAATAATAATTATTAGCATTAATTGCATTTAAATTTCATTTAATTTCAAATAAAATAAATATTATAGAAATCTTCTTAACAAGCCGAGCGAAATCAAATACAAAAAAAAGAAATATATATTTAATTAGCATTCAAATTAAAATTCAAACTCGTATTTTTTAACAAACGAAGATGAGCCAAGATCGAATCTTTGATGAATACATTGTTAAGCAAGAACAATTATAGCTTATTTCATAAGCACTTAAAGTCCATGTATTTGATTTTTAATTATCAAGTGAGTCAAGTAATTGAGCTAAGATTGTTGTTCACAATAATATTTGACAAAGTTTTCATTACTTTTATTATTTGAATTTTGTATTTTGTCTGCTAAATTTATTTTCATTTTTTTTTAGTTTGTCAACTAAATTTATTTTATTACTAATTTTGGTAAATTCAGCAAATCAACATTTAACTATGATCTTTTATTCTAACTGTTATTTACACAAAATATCACTGTTTTTGTTACATTCTCTCTCATTCTTTTTTATTTATTTATTTATTTGTAACTAAATTTCTAAAATTATCATCAACTATCTTTTTATATTTATCAATTTTTTAATAAAATATTTATTTTTCTTAATCTTTAGAACAAACGGAGAGAATATATTTTTTTTCTCACAAAATATCTAATTAAATATTATTTAAATACAAAATCTAAATCTAATTTTTCCAACCCCAACCAAAGAAGGAAAAAAAATGTCTAGCTAAAACCTAGCCCTACATCTACACCTATACTAACTTTGGATATTGACAAACAGCAAGCATGAATTAATAAAACATCCACGAGGCCAACATAAAGTCATTATTCCTATTTATAATTTTGACTTATTTTCCATCATAAATTTATATAATATATATAGCCACTTTGACTTATTTTCCATCATAAATTTATATACTATTTTCTTTCGACTTTAAAAATCTCATTTACTTTTTACGTGTTAATCTTTAAATATTAATTATTATATCGAAATGTAGTATAAATTAAAAAAAAATTACAAAAATACTTCCATTAGTATTTTATAATACTAATAAAAAGATATTTGTATAAAATATTATACAAATATAATAATACAAAACGTAAATGTAATCCTTAGAGAAAGAGTAAGCAGGAACACATAGTAATAACAAATGTATTCAACTACTAAAGGCTTAACTAAACCATAACATTCAAGTATGGTTGTTTTTTTCTAAAAATAGTATATATATATATATATTACAGCTAATATATACTTCCCATTCATAATATTTTTTCGTTTTATAACAAACTATCTATTTTTTCATTTTAGTTCTTCTCATAATAAAGTATCAATTTCATTTTTTAATAATTGTACTATATACTTAATATTACAAATACACTTACAACTTACAATATATTATACAAATGTCATTATCTTTATATCACATAATACTAATAAGATTATTTTGATCATTTTTACTTTATTTCTACTTATATTTTAATATAATATTAATATTTTTAAAATTACGTGAAAAAACAAAGAGATCCATAATTATCGACAAATTTAGTTTTTTCTTTAAAACTATAAGAGACTTTGGGCTTGTTTGTTTTTATTTCACTATTCTATAAGTAGTAAAAAAAAATTGAATTGTAGTTATTACGTGTGCTACATAAATATAGATATGATGGGATTGTTTGAATATTTTTCTTCTATATATTATATGAAAAATAAATGTATAATTGAATTAGTCGCTTTTGTTTTGGGAATTTTCCTAAGATTTTTATTGTTAATAACTTTTTTTAATCAAAAAATATCAAAATAAAAATGTTTTTATTTTTATATTTTATTAAAAATTAATTTTATATCCAAAATATTGCACTACCATCACACAAATATTCAACTTAATTTTATTATTTTTTATATACAAAATCTAAATCCTCAAACATATACAGTTTTGAATGTTTGTTGATGTGATATAAATGAATATTAATGATATTTAAATACTCCCTCATCCTTTAATAATTTATTCATTTGTCTTTCATAGTACTTACCATTAAAAATATTTTTATATTTGTATATTTTTTTACAAATATCATTATATTAGTATTATAAAACATTAATAAAAATATTTTTTTGTCACTTTTCTTGATTTGTAATATATTTTGATATAATAATTAATATACAAATATAAAAAAACACAAAATAAATGAATTAAATTACGAAGGAAGTATAAAATTAACTTTTGATATAATATAAAAAATAAAAAAATTTAAATATCATATAAATATATATTTTTTTTATCGCAAAACATCAAATCAAATATTAATTTTTTATTAATTGTTTTGATTTTTAAAATTTCAAAAAGCTCTAAAACTTCTATTTAAACGAACTTAATTTTAAATTTTATTAAATGCCCACGAAAAAACACATCCCCAAAGAATTCTTGTGAAAAAAGGAAATTCAATTGAGGATTCGTACGATGGATTCAGCCGGCAAACTGGAAATCATTATCACCCTGGTGGGGTCGACGTACATTTCCAATTTCTACTGCAATTGCGATTGGGCTGTCATTTCTGATTGATGATATCACCGATGAGGTCACCCCGCCGTAGCGACGGACTTCGCTATATAAACCCTTTGTATCTCCTTCTCTTGTTCGCAAGCTTCCGTTACAGTTTCAGATTTTTGTGACCGTGTCGCGCCTGGTCTGGGATTGCAACCATTGTCAATCGCCGCCGAGAAATGGCGAAAGCGCCTGAAAGAGAGCATCCGGTGAAGGCCTTTGGTTGGGCTGCGAGAGACAATTCTGCAGTCTTCTCTCCGTTCAAGTTTTCCAGGAGGTATTTGGCTTCGGAATTATGTAGTTTACAAAATCGAGTCGTGTATTTTCCAAGTTTGGCTTTCTCTGCTGTTTTTCTGAGGATTTTGAAACGTCGATTCGGTGCTGGTGCAGGGCGACTGGCGAGCACGATGTGCAGTTCAAAGTTATGTACTGTGGCGTCTGCCATTCGGATCTTCATATGGCCAAAAACGATTGGGGATTCACTCAGTATCCTTTGGTCCCTGGGTATGAATCGATTCTCTCTGTTTGGTATTAAATCACAGAAATGATTTCTCGTGCTTTCGGAATGAATTCTGTGCCCTAGACCACCGTGTCTGTGTTCTTATGCATAATCTACTGCTTGAGGTCTTCGTGTTGGTTGAATCGTTGATTAACAAGTGAATTTGCTTTGCGTGTGGTTAATTTCAATTCAGAAATATGCAATTGAGAATAATGATCGATCTACTCGATTAAAGCTTTTCGGAATTCACATCTGCTTAAGATTTTTGAATCTTCTTGAGGCTTTTTTTGAGTTTGATATTGGAATAGGATTTTGCTCTGTTATGTTGCTACCTTCACTTCTCTGTAAAGCTCTCATTAGATCAGTTTTTGTCGAAAACTATAAATCAGCACTGAGGATAAAGAACACCTTTCCAATTCCTTCACCAGCGCTACCATTTTCTTCGATTTTCTTACTTACACCATGGCTGATTCTAGGGAGACTAGTGTTCTTGAATGTACTAACTTCTACTATTCGGCGTAGGCATGAGATTGTCGGGGTGGTGACTGAGGTAGGTAGCAAGGTGAAGAAGGTGAAGGTAGGCGACAATGTCGGAGTTGGATGCTTGGTAGGATCGTGTCGTGAATGCGATCGATGCAGGAATGATCTGGAAAATCACTGCTCCAAATTCATAATGACTTACAGCTCCTTCGACACTGATGGCACCATCACACGCGGAGGTTACTCCGACACCATGGTCTCAGACGAGCATTTCGTCATCCGTTGGCCTGAGAACTTCCCCCTCGACGCCGGAGCTCCTCTCCTCTGTGCCGGAATCACCACTTACAGCCCCTTGAGGCACTTCGGGCTCGACAAGCCCGGACTTCACGTTGGCGTGGTTGGTCTTGGCGGGCTCGGACATGTTGCTGTCAAATTTGCCAAAGCTTTCGGAACTAAGGTGACTGTTATCAGTACTTCAATTAGTAAAAAGAAGGAAGCGATCGAAATTCTTGGCGCTGACGAGTTTTTGGTTAGCAAAGACTTGGAGCAAATGCAGGTAAACATTTCTGAGCCTAATATCGGATTTACTAATCGATTGAACCCACAATTTGTTTCTTTTTCTTCGTCTTCTTTGCTAGGCTGCAGCAGGTACGTTGGACGGCATCCTCGACACTGTATCGGCAGATCATCCTATGGCGCCACTGCTGAGTCTTTTAAAGCCCGATGGAAGGCTCGTTTTGCTCGGAGTTCCTGGAAAGCCTTTGGAATTCCCGGCTTTTGGGGTTATTGCGGGCAGGAAGTCGATATCGGGGAGCGGGATTGGAGGGTTGAAGGAGACTCAAGAGATGATCGATTTTGCGGCGAAACACAACATACTGCCGGATGTCGAGGTTATACCCTTCGATTACGTGAATGCTGCCATGGAACGGCTGGAGAAAGGCGACGTCAAGTATCGGTTCGTGATCGATGTCGCGAAAACGTTGAAACCCGAGTGAAGGTTGAGATTTTATGATATGATACGATACGATATTTTGGTTTGGATTTTGCGATAATAATAATAAGAAGAAGAAAGAAAAACAAGATACTCTGTTAGCACTATTCTGTATTTGAATCCATTTTCTGTTTGTTGTTGGCTGATTAAACTCTGGATAATATAGTGAAATCTTGGTTTGTTAGTTTTGAATCTATTATAGTATATCACATATAATAGCGTAGTTTGCAGACAATGTTACGGATTCCCATATATTATAAAATTTTAAATATTTTTACTATTTTTTTTTAATTTTTAAATTTAAATTTTATTATTATTTTATAATATTAAATATGTATAATAATAAAAATTAAATATATTAAAATATAATTAATAATTTTGAGTTGTTTTATATTAAAATATAATATTTTCTAATAAAATATTAAATATATAATAAAAATACATTAAAATATTATATTTCAAATTTTAGATTAGTTCGAATTTTAAGTATATCGATCCGATTCGAAAATTCAAAATTTGTCAAATATTCAATCCAAATTAATTTGAAAATCCGAAAAGTTTAAGCCAAATTTTAAATTTCAATTTTGTTCGAATCTAATTTTCGAATTTTGAATATTTTGGTCACACTCTATATTTTCCTTATACAGTAGATTTTTTTTTTTTAAAAAAAATAATAGTAGTACTATTTTTAAATTAAAAACATTTGGCTCTAAATGAAATAATTAAGTATATCGACGATTCGTCTGCTGAAGGTATATTTTCTCTGACAAAAAGACAGCAATGTCGTCGAAAGCATACAACAAATCAAAAAACTAATCTCTTGAGAAATGATCTCATGGAAAACGTCATATCCACAATGGCGGACACTGGTGGAGCCTCCGCTATAAATTCCCCCACCAGCTTCATCAATCTGCTAGACAGACTTTCGTCAAAATATCTTCCTCAAATTTGTATTCTTCCTACAGTGCGGAAGCTCGGGAAATTACAAATCGCAACAGAATCATGTCGAAAGCTCCAGAGAATCAGTCAGTGAAGGCCTACGGGTACGCCGCCAGAGACAATTCCGGTATTCTTTCGCCGTTCGAGTTTTCCAGGCGGTAACTGCTCCGTTAACCGCTTTATTTCTCGTCCTTCGATTTAGGGTTTGAATTTTGTCGATTTCGGCTGATTTGAGCTCATTTGTTCAAATTTGGGGATCTGATTTGTGACAGGGCGACCGGCGAGCACGATGTGCAGTTCAAGGTGTTGTACTGCGGCGTTTGCCACACGGATATTCACATGGCGAAGAACGAGTGGGGATTCAGTCGCTATCCTATTGTTCCTGGGTAAGAATTAAGATGACTATGAGATGAACCAATTAAACCTTTTCTGCTCTGCTTTCGCTGAAATTAGGGATTCGGAATTGGATTTTGCTTTGGTTGAGCTTAATTAATTTGGTTTTGCTTATGGAATCACATAATGTTGCTGAAAGTAGCTGTGTATTTTGCTTCTGTTCATCGTCTCTGTTCGTTAGATCTTCTGCAAAAACAGCTGAGTGTGTTTACCCGTGGAATTTTAGTTTTGAGTTTTGATTTTGAACACTAAAATTTTTTAATTGAAATAGTTATTTGATATGATATAAATACTTATTGAAATGTTATCGAAACGTTGTCATTTTTCATTTTTGTCCGTCACCATTTCCTAATTTAGTAATTGTACTACCTACTTAACATAATAAATATCATTTCAACTTACAATATATTACACTAATGTCGTTATTTTTATACTACATAATACTAATAGGAGTATTTTCGTCTTTTTCACTACAATTCTTTATAATACTAATATTAAAAAATTTACGTATAAAAAGTAAACGGCAATCTTGTACCGGGACGGAGGGAGTAAATAAAAAATAATTGTTTGATTTGATGTTTTTGAGAAAATTTAAATAGTAAAATCAAAATCAAAACTTGGAAAATTTTTTAATTCCGATGCAGGCACGAGATCGTCGGAGTTGTGACGGAGGTCGGCGGCAAGGTGAAAAAGGTGAAGCCCGGAGACAATGTCGGCATCGGCTATATGATCGATTCGTGTCGCCAATGCAGCCAGTGCTCGAACGATCTCGAAAACTATTGTTCTAAGCAAGTATTCACCGCCGGCTTCCCTTACCCCGACGGGACCACCACGTACGGCGGCTACTGCGATGTCATGGTGGCCGACGAGCATTTCGTCATCCGCTGGCCGGAGAACTTTCCCCTCGACTCTGGCGCCCCTCTCCTCTGTGCCGGCATTACGACTTACAGTCCCCTGAAGTACTTTGGACTCGACAAGCCTGGACTTCATATTGCCGTGGTTGGTCTTGGCGGCCTTGGCCATGTCGCCGTGAAGTTTGCCAAGGCGTTCGGTACTAAAGTGACGGTTATCAGCACATCGGATAGCAAGAAGAAGGAGGCCCTCGAACATCTTGGTGCTGATGAATTTTTGATCAGCAAGAACCCCGAGCAACTTCAGGTAAAGCTAAATGACCATGTCACCTAAAAATTTAACTGTTTTAAATATATATATTAAAATCATTATATATATGAGCATGGATCAGCCTGATCCGCTCAAGTCAACACATAGTAACCAGTATATATTTATATATATTTCAGCATATTTATTAAATATCATATAATTATATTATAATACAAATATATATTTTCTTCTAACACAACATATATTGTACTTGCTGGTCACTCATATAAGATTCGGTCAAATCAGTACTTTGCTGACTTGGCCGTATTAGCACAAGATCTGCAACCCTAAATTTACACTATATACGAATCTTGCGAGTAATGCATGTAGATATTTTTTTACGAAACGGGTTGCGTCAGGTCCTACTCTGATATCATGTTAAATGACAATCTCACCTAACGTTTAAACTTGTAAGAATAAACGTCATTATATACATATATAATGCTTACACCACACACACAAATCTTGTACGTTGACAATTTTTTACGAAAGGGGAGCGTGAGGTTCTGCTCAAATATTACGTTAAATGATCATTTCATTTAAAAGTTTAAGCTGGTAGGGATACACATCGTTATATACATATTACATAGTCTAGCAACAGCTACAATGGCCATGTTATCTCCATTGTTTGCCATATACTGATTTTGTCGATAATTTTAGGCTGCAGCCGGGACGCTGGATGGTATCATTGACACTGTAGCGGCGCACCATCCCCTAGCGCCGTTGCTGAGTCTATTGAAGCCTAGTGGGAAGATTGTCCTGGTGGGCGCTCCCGATAAGCCTCTGGAGCTTCCGGCATTTAATGTCATTGCCGGTTTGTATCCATTTTCTGTTCCGTTTTTCTCAATTGATGGATGGATAGTTCCTCGACAAGATCCTTTTTATTGACAGGGAGGAAGTCGATATCGGGCAGTGCCGTCGGAGGGATCAAAGAGACACAAGAGATGATTGATTTTGCAGCCGAGCACAACATAGTGGCCGACGTCGAGGTCATCCCTATCGACTATGTGAACACTGCTTTCGAACGCCTTGCCAAAGGCGATGTCAAGTACCGTTTCGTCGTCGATGTGGCGAAATCATTGAAGGTCGAGTAAGGTTTTGGTCGTATATGGGGTCGAATCGTCGCTGGAGCTTTGCCGCCGGCGACGGAGCAGTGTTTTCCGGTGCTCTATCAGCTGCATTTGCTAAATAACGCGAGGCTTTATTTGTTAATTGTTTTTTTGGAGGGGGTGTGTGTTTATATATTGAAGAATAATTTGTTTGGATGTATGCTTGAGAGTGTAATGAAAATAAATAAATAAATGTATAAATATAAAAATTTGATATTTATTTTGATTATTTTGCCCGTATTCTTTATATGCAATGCATAAGTTTTGGGACCTTTCAAATTTGCAAACGAGTATAAAATATTTTAGGGTAATATGTTTTTTTAGTCCCGTAACTGGACCTCCTTGTTATTTTAGTTCCGTAAGTGGGCCTGTCGCAAACTAGTTCCATAAGTGAAAATTTTTCGCTGTTTTAGTCCTCCGGTGCCGGACACGCCCGCGTGGCTCGCCGGAGATGACGTGTCCGCCAGGTGTCTCGAGATCAGTGACACCTGGCGGACACGTGGATTTATTTATTTATTTTCATTTATTTTTAATTTTTTTTAATTGAATCAAATAAAAAAATGCAAATAAAATAAAAATAAATGAAAAATAAGTTTTTAAAAAAATTTAAAAAAATAAAAAAAATAAAAAAAATCCACGTGTCCGCCAGGTGAGCCGAAGAGAGTCGTTTACACTCAGTGAGTAGGAATTGGGGTCCTATTTCCCAGTCGCTGACCACGTCACTTCCGGCGAACCATGCGGGCGTCTCCGGCACCAAAGGACTAAAACAACGAAAATTTTTCACTTATGAAACTAGTTTGCGACATGCTCCACTTACATGACTAAAATGGATAGAAAATCCAGTTACGGAACTAAAAAGACAATTTATCCAGTATTTTATAATGCTCTGATTTTCATGTTAACTCGTTGAATCAATATAGTGTTAATTTAATAAGACAGAAGTACATAAGACAAGTACATATTCTGATCATAATAAATATATTTATACTGCACTGTTCTATATGGAAATATGCACTATCCAAATAAGAATTCAATAAGTAGTTGAATAAATAAAATCAATACGTCATTTTTATTTTTTATTATTGTAACTACTTTATGTATTCAATATGGAAGATATATTGAAACACACGAGACAGATTCTCCATATCAGTTTATAAATATCAAATGAAAAATGTGTTTTTTTTATTTATTTATTCTTCTTCTCTGACAGAATAAAAAGTTTATAAATATCTCTACTTTAGTCTAATCAATTAAGAATGGAAGATATTGAAAAATATTTGAGTTATTGAGTTGTTTTTACTACAATTGATATTATTTATATTTTCAGATTGATTATTGAGATGTGGTGAAAATTTTTAAAGAAAAACTATATACTAGTTTTTTAAAAGGAAAAAAACTAGTGCCATTGCACTAGAATTAGAATTGTGATCAAATGAAGAAATTTCAAAGTGCAATGATTTGAATGAGAGTAAAAAATCACCATTAAAGTATTTAAAAGTTAAACATGAAAGAATCAAATATTTATGAATCGAAGAAAATAAATGAGACAAATCCTGATTCTATAATCCTGATTCAAATATAGGACTATCCAGCTTCAAAGTAATACAAAATAAGAATTTATATCAATCTTGGACCTTATCAACCTTTTTTGAATTATTTATGCATTTTCCAAAAAAGACATCATTGTAGATTTCAAATAACATCGTTAAATAACTTATTTTGCCTTGAATATTCTCCACCAAGTGATGTTGTTTATTATTTTCCAAATATCTTTTCACTAAGAAGCTATTTGGAAGAGTTAGATCGGATAAATTTTAAATAAAGAGATTTAGGAATTGAAATTTGAACATAAGTAAAGATTGTTCTTTTTTAACTTATGATGGTAAATATTTTATTTTATTTTAGCTCACAAATTTTCTGTTAGATGCTACGAAGATTTAAAAAAATTAACTATTTCATTTAAAGCAATTGATTGAAAAACAAAATTTCGAACAAATTTTTTAAAAAATAAAATACAGTTGAGATTTTTAATTGAAACATTTAGAAAACTTATATTTCAAGCTTATGCATTCTCTGGTCATAACAAAGGGTTGGGTTCAAAAATTGAAGGAAATTCTCTTAAAATGGTCGAACTATTAAAATCTTGTATTAAATATATTAATGATGTTGTATTAGAAATTATCCCTAAATGCTATATATATATATATATATATCTTCGGATATTTAAAAAAAGATTTTCCACATTTTTGTGATGAATGTGCAAAAATATGTAATTGTGATGAGACTTGTGAAACAAAATTTTGTTTGATGGTTGATAAGATTCAAAATGAATTTAAAAATGAACAAATATTTATTGTTTTTAGATTTGTTGACTAAAGCAAATATGTAAAAGAGAAATTTTTGAATTTGATATATGCCAAAGATATATCAAAGTTGTATAATTTATTATATAAATTTTTATAATAAAAAATTTATCTAAAACAATTCAAATATAAAATTTTCAAACCAAATACTTTCTCTATCTCATCTTAGGTAACGTGTTCACATTGTCATTTTTGTTCGTACCACATCTCGTATCATTGTTCTTTTATTAAAAATGATTTCACACATTAATTTCATTTTAAATTTTTTAATTTATATTTTTTAAATTTTAATTAGATTAATTAGTTATCTTAATCTTAATCTATAATAATTTGTATCATAGAATAATTATTTTTACTGATACATTTTTAATTAGTTACTAATATACTTAGTCTAAATTCCTGTATTTGATAATAACTCGAACATGGTAAGTGAGACGGAGAGAATATCTTTCAAAATTCATATCTAAACAGAGCATATGTTTTTCCTTGATAATTGCAATAACCAATCATATCCGAGTCTGCAAATCGTATAAGATTCAAAGAAAGAGCTTTCAGAATATCAAATCCCAAGTTCTTAAATGTCATTCCTATATACCTCAAAATACCTTTGCCGCTTTTAAAAAATACCACTTTTATATATGATATAAGTATGGTGATTCATATTGATTATTTCTTGTGTGTTCTCGATCGAATTTTTAATTTTATAATTTATTATTCTCTTCATTCTAATTCAAAGTATTCTTTTACTATTTTTATTTGTCTTATCTAAAAGTATCTTTTTTCTACTATGGTAGAAGTAACTATACACTAATACTCAAATACCCTTAAATTTTTACATAAATTACAAATATAAAATTACACATATACATAAAATACAAAGTGCAAGAATATTGAAACTATCTTATACACTTTCACTGATCAATAAAATACACTATTATTTTTTAATTTATTACAAAATCCTATAGAGTACTGTCATATGGAAAGGAGGGAGTACTTTGTTGTGATGGTCTTAAGCCATGTTATTGCATTTTGTTTTATTTTATATTTTGCTAGAGGAGGATAACAAAAGTTTGAATTAGATACAAAATTGATAATATCATACTAGTCTTGAGTTAGTATTTTTATAATAGTAGCAAAATGCAATCATGGTTTCTTCAATCTTTCTTGCTTTTCTTATTCACAAAAAAAAAAAAAAAAAAAACAAAAAAACAAAAAAGAAGTTAGTATTGATGAATTTTTGGAGTTTTTGTTGTTAATTGTTAAGAAATGTGAATGTATTATTAAAATATTTATTTTTATTAATTTTTAAATATTTTATGAAAAAAATTATTTTTGTTAAAAACAATACATATTGAAAATGATAAATTAAAAGCAAAACAAATTCTATCGATCGAAATCATAGAGATCAATAAGAGTTAGAGTTCATTCAAATTCTCAGAAAGAAATTGCTTTTTGTTTACTTGAATTTTGATATTATTATCATATTTTTGATTATTTTGGATTCTTTGATAGTTTTGATAAATTGATATTAAATATACAATGAATGTAATTTTTATTTTTATTTTTCAAGAATAAATGAAACGACAAGTGAATACAACTTTAATGTTACTTCTTTAGTATTTTCTTCGTTACTTAAAAATATGCTTAAATTTTTAGACATGAATTTTAACATGAATACATGTTTTTAGTTATTTTTTATTTTCTATAGTAAAAAAATACAAAAAATAATTTAATTTTTTACTAAAAATAAAAAATATATATATCTTTAGATGACAAATTTAAAAAAAAAAAAAACACACACACACACACAAATTTTAATGACCGGAGAACTACTAGCATATTGTTCCTGTGTGTCGTCTATAATTTGGTCACATAGGTTTTTGTTGTTGATCTTGCTTCAATAATTAATTGTCTTTATATCATTTCATTCTTATTATTCTTCAAATTGATTATGTGTGTTGTTTCTATTGAATTTTTGGATCTTATTTCCATTTTTATGCTTCTAATCAAAGCATTAAACATGTACATATAGTCGTATAATATATATTTTTGATATAAGATCATACATCATACTATAATGTTAACATAATATAAATACAATATATATATCACAATATGTTTCTATATAGTACTCCCTCCGTCTCAAACATCGTGCAATATTTGTGTTTGGCACGGGAATTTAGGTGAGGAGTATTAAGTATGGTAATTTGAGATAATTTGGATATTAAGTTATGTGATTGGAGAGAGAAATAATTATTTGTTTTTTTTATTTGAGTGATGTGATGTGATGGGATAAAGTGAAGTGTATATTAATATATGTATAAAAATATTATTAATTATTTCTAAATTTGGAAATGTTGCAGTAAGTTTGGGACAAACAAAAAAATAAATATTGTAGGGTGTTTTGGACAGAGGGAGTAATATTTATGTTCATTTCAGCACAATATAGTACAACATATATTATGTTAAATAAATATATGTATTGTAGCGTATTTTATATGTAGTGATTTAGGCAGACAGAATATCTACTGTATTAAATAAAAACATATGCCATTTGCGTATTTTATATGCATTGATTGAAGCTAATAATCACCAACAATATATATTATGTTAAATAAAAATATATGCTATGCATGCATTTTATATATATCCAACAAATCATTACTAACAATATATGTTAGGTTAAAATGTTATGCGCGTGCTATGTACGTGCTGATTCAGATAAATTATTACGAACTACGTGCGTGTTTTATACGTGTTTATATGTTGGGTTAAAAAAATATATATGTTATGCGCGTGTTTTGTACGAGCCGATTTAGATAAATCATTATGAACTACGCGCGTGTTTTATATGCGTTGATTCAGATAAATCATTACGAACTACGTGCGTGTTTTATACGTGCTTATATGTTGGGTTAAAAATATATATATGTTATGCGCATGTTTTGTACATGTTGATTCAGAGAAATTATTATGAACTACGTGCGTGTTTTATACATGCTTATATGTTGGGTTAAATATATATATATGTTATGTGCGTGTTTTGTACATGTTGATTCACATAAATCATTATAAACTGTGTGCGTGTTTTATACGTGCTTATATGTTGCGTTAAATATATATACTTCCTCCGTTCTGCAAGAAGGTTGTCATGGCCTTTTTGCGTTATGCAAAAGAAATCAAGAGAAAAAGACAAAAATACGTTTATTAGTCTCTTATAGTACAAATACAATGATATTTGTCGAGTAATTATTCAAATATAAGGATATTTTTAATGTTAAGTATAATGACGCAAAAACCAAATGGCAACCTTCTTGCGGAACGGAGGGAGTATATGTTATACATACATGCTGATTCAGAGAAATCATTACAAATTGCGCGGGTTAAATATATATATATATGTTATGCATACATGCTGATTCAAAGAAATTATTACAAATTACGCGCGTGTTTTATACGTGCTTATATGTTAGGTTAAAAATATACATAGATATGTTATGCGCGTGTTTTGTACATGCTGATTCAAACAAATTATTACAAACTGCGCGCGTGTTTTATACGTGCTTATATATTGGGTTAAAAAACTAAATATATGTTATGCGCGTGGTTTGTACATGCTAATTCAAAGAAATCATTACAAACTGCGCGCGTGCTTTATACGTGCTTATTTATTGGGTTGCCTTTTTGCGTTATGCAGTAGAAATCAAAAGAAAACGACAAAAATACGTTTATTAGTCTCTTATAGTACAAATACAATTATATTTGTCGAGTAATTATTTAAATATAAGGATATTTTTAATGTTAAGTATAATGATGCAAAAACCAAATGGCAACCTTCTTGCGGAACGGAGGGAATATATGTTATACATACATGCTGATTCAGAGAAATCATTACAAATTGCGCGGGTTAAATATATACATATGTTATGCATACATGCTGATTCAAAGAAATCATTACAAATTGCGCGCGTGTTTTATACGTGCTTATATGTTGGGTTAAAAATATATATAGATATGTTATGCGCGTGTTTTGTACATGCTGATTCAAACAAATTATTACAAACTGCACGCGTGTTTTATACTTGCTTATATATTGGGTTAAAAAAACTAAATATATGTCATGCACGTGGTTTGTACATGCTAATTCAAAGAAATCATTACGAACTGCGCGCGTGCTTTATACGTGCTTATTTATTGGGTTGTCTTTTTGCGTTATGCAGTAGAAATCAAAAGAAAAAGACAAAAATACGTTTATTAGTCTCTTATAGTACAAATACAATGATATTTGTCGAGTAATTATTTAAATATAAGGATATTTTTAATGTTAAGTATAATTACTCAAAAATCAAATGGCAACCTTCTTGCGGAACGGAGGGAGTATATGTTATACATACATGCTGATTCAGAGAAATCATTACAAATTGCGCGGGTTAAATATATATATATGTTATGCATACATGCTGATTCAAAGAAATTATTACAAATTGCGCGCGTGTTTTATACGTGCTTATATGTTGGGTTAAAAATATATATAGATATGTTATGCGCGTGTTTTGTACATGCTGATTCAAACAAATTATTACAAACTGCACGCGTGTTTTATACTTGCTTATATATTGGGTTAAAAAAACTAAATATATGTCATGCACGTGGTTTGTACATGCTAATTTAAAGAAATCATTACGAACTGCGCGCGTGCTTTATACGTGCTTATTTATTGGGTTGTCTTTTTGCGTTATGCAGTAGAAATCAAGAGAAAAAGACAAAAATACGTTTATTAGTCTCTTATAGTACAAATACAATGATATTTGTCGAGTAATTATTTAAATATAAGGATATTTTTAATGTTAAGTATAATTACTCAAAAATCAAATGGCAACCTTCTTGCGGAACGGAGGGAGTATATGTTATACATACATGCTGATTCAGAGAAATCATTACAAATTGCGCGGGTTAAATATATATATATGTTATGCATACATGCTGATTCAAAGAAATTATTACAAATTGCGCGCGTGTTTTATACGTGCTTATATGTTGGGTTAAAAATATATATAGATATGTTATGCGCGTGTTTTATACATGTTGATTCAAACAAATTATTACAAATTGTTCGCGTGTTTTATACGTGCTTATATATTGGGTTAAAAAACTAAATATATGTCATGCGCGTGGTTTGTACATGCTGATTCAAACAAATCATTACAAACTGCGCGTGTGTTTTATACGTGCTTATTTATTGGGTTGTCTTTTTGCGTTATGCAGTAGAAATCAAGAGAAAAAGACAAAAATACGTTTATTAGTCTCTTATAGTACAAATACAATTATATTTGTCGAGTAATTATTTAAATATAAGGATATTTTTAATATTAAGTATAATGATGCAAAAACCAAATGGCAACCTTCTTGCGGGAACGGAAGGAGTATATGTTATACATACATGCTGATTCAGAGAAATCATTACAAATTGCGCGGGTTAAATATATACATATGTTATGCATACATGCTGATTCAAAGAAATCATTACAAATTGCGCGCGTGTTTTATACGTGCTTATATGTTGGGTTAAAAATATATATAGATATGTTATGCGCGTGTTTTGTACATGCTGATTCAAACAAATTATTACAAACTGCACGCGTGTTTTATACTTGCTTATATATTGGGTTAAAAAAACTAAATATATGTCATGCACGTGGTTTGTATATGTTGATTCAAAGAAATCATTACGAACTGCGCGCGTGCTTTATACGTGCTTATTTATTGGGTTGTCTTTTTGCGTTATGCAGTAGAAATCAAGAGAAAAAGACAAAAATACGTTTATTAGTCTCTTATAGTACAAATACAATGATATTTGTCGAGTAATTATTTAAATATAAGGATATTTTTAATGTTAAGTATAATGATGCAAAAACCAAATGGCAATCTTCTTGCGGAACGGAGGGAGTATATGTTATACATACATGTTGATTCAGAGAAATCATTACAAATTGCGCGGGTTAAATATATATATGTTATGCATACATGCTGATTCAAACAAATTATTACAAACTGCCCGCGTGTTTTATACGTGGTTATATATTGGGTTAAAAAACTAAATATATGTCATGCGTGTGGTTTGTACATGCTAATTCAAAGAAATCATTACAAATTGCGCGCGTGTTTTATACGTGCTTATATGTTGGGTTAAAAATATATATAGATATGTTATGCGCGTGTTTTGTACATGCTGATTCAAACAAATTATTACAAACTGCACGCGTGTTTTATACTTGCTTATATATTGGGTTAAAAAAACTAAATATATGTCATGCACGTGGTTTGTATATGTTGATTCAAAGAAATCATTACGAACTGCGCGCGTGCTTTATACGTGCTTATTTATTGGGTTGTCTTTTTGCGTTATGCAGTAGAAATCAAGAGAAAAAGACAAAAATACGTTTATTAGTCTCTTATAGTACAAATACAATGATATTTGTCGAGTAATTATTTAAATATAAGGATATTTTTAATGTTAAGTATAATGATGCAAAAACCAAATGGCAATCTTCTTGCGGAACGGAGGGAGTATATGTTATACATACATGTTGATTCAGAGAAATCATTACAAATTGCGCGGGTTAAATATATATATGTTATGCATACATGCTGATTCAAACAAATTATTACAAACTGCCCGCGTGTTTTATACGTGGTTATATATTGGGTTAAAAAACTAAATATATGTCATGCGTGTGGTTTGTACATGCTAATTCAAAGAAATCATTACAAATTGCGCGCGTGCTTTATACGTGCTTATTTATTTGGTTAAAAAACTAAATATATGTCATGCGCTTGTTTTGTACATGCTGATTCAGATTAATAATTGCAAATTATGTGCGTGTTTTACACGCGTTTATTCGGGCAAATAATCGACAATACATATATACTATATTAAATAAAAATACGTATTATCTGGCTGTTGTATGTATACACGTATATATATATACAGGTAGTCACCTTTCATGCTTGTATCTCTCTCTCTCCCTCCTCCCCTCTCTCTCTCTCTCTCTCTCTCTCTTCATATGATATCTATCTGTATTCTCCATTGTAGCTACAAATAATCAAATCAACAGTGCTCTCTCATTTTCCAATCATCATCATCATCATCATCACAATGACAAATCAGTTCATGTAATCAAATCGGCATCTTCCCCTCTCCCCAAATTAAACTCACTTCTTCGTCTTCTCCGGCGACTTAATTAGGGTTCCGATCAACCCCCCCAACACCATCATGTCGCTCGAGAGCAGCATCCTCACCGCCGGCAGAAAGCCGAGGCAGGCGGCGACCAGATCCCCATCGGCGGCGCGGCCACAAGAGCCGCCGCTCCTCTGCCCCAGGTGCGACTCCCCCAACACCAAATTCTGCTACTACAATAACTACAACCTCTCCCAGCCGCGCTACTTCTGCAAGACCTGCCGCCGCTACTGGACCAAGGGCGGCGCCCTCCGCAACGTCCCTATCGGCGGCGGCTGCCGCAAGAATAAGAAGACCGTCAAGTATTCCCTCAAGCTCCCCGCCAAGGACTCCAACAGCACTGGATCGTCGTCTTCCTCCGATCTCGGCGGCCTCAAGTCCTTCTTCCATGGCCTCTCCACCGCCATGGATTTCCAGCTCGCCAGTCCGAACGCCCAATTGGGAAACCTAGCTTCTCCGGCGGCCCCCAATTGTCTCCCCCAACAGCTCGACCCTCTCATGGGGTTCAGTTCAGGGTTTTTGGAAATGGGATCCATGAATCTTCAGAGCTCGATCGAGTCGCTGAATTCGATCAACCAAGACCTCCACTGGCAGCTGCAGCAGCAAAGATTGGCTATGCTCGCCTTCGCCGACAAGCCACAGCCGAATTTGTTCGATAATCATCAGATTGACACCTCCAAAAAACCAGATCAATCCTGTCCGATGATTACACCGTATGTGAATATGGTGAATGAGCGGTTTGTTGATAAACCCTACCCAACGTTAACTGCAGCGGCGGCGGTGGATCCGACGACGACGACGACAACAACGGCGGCGGCAATGGCGGCAACAGCTAGCAGCACAATTAGGAACTGGAGTGGAATTCAGTCGTGGAGTGCTGATCAATTGGCTCAGTTTAATTCTCTGCCTTAATCAGACGTGGTGTTTGTTCATCACCTCAAATCTGCTTTCGTATTTTCTTATTTGGTAATTTTCGAGTGTCTCTATCAGATCAGTTGTTGAATCATGGTTATATATATATATATATATATTAATTAGTCTTCTTCATCATCATCATCATTTCTGATTCTTATTTCGCTTTAATTGATGTGGTCCAGCAGTCTAAAGAGCAAATTACAGTAAATTGTATGAATATATGATCTTCATCTGTCTGTAATTATTTAAAGAAAAATTAAAGTTAATTAGTCGGCTGTCTGCATTTCTGGGAGCTGAAAATCAGTTCTATACTTAAAGATTTCACTACTAAAAAACCTAAATTTGGGCAAACATTGAATTGGTTATTGTTTCTTCAATTATTGCAACAATTTCTCAGCTTTGCATTTAAGAACGAATTTCCCTCGAATCGAATTCCATTATTGTATAAACTCAAACACTGAAGATCCAATGTGATGTAATTTTCTAAATCGGACAAGTAGTGCAGAATTACAGGTAAAATTACAGGTAGGATCAGATAAAAATGAATCTGTGGAGAAAAAAGCCCTAAATCTTGTCATCACTGTGCTGAAGGATTTTGGACCGTTATGCAAGAAATTAAATTAATTTGGATATGTATCTGATATGGTGGGAGAGAGAGAGAGAGAGGAGAGCAGGGTGGCAGAACTACTCTCTTCTTTACTGCCACAATGTGTCTCCCTCAATCAGGCAACTCAGGGTCAGACTTTTGTGTCAGAATCTGACAACATAGATGCACTTGCAGTAATGTTGCAGAGGAACAGAAGAAGTGAAGAAGAAGAAGAAGAAGAAGATGATGAAGAAGAATGGAATGGAAACACAAGTACTGAACGAGGGAATTAAAGGCCTTCTTCACTGCCCATGAATAATAAATTTCTCTCACAGTAACAGTACCCTTCTTCACTGCCCATTAAGGGTTTTTCAAATTTTTATTTTTTAATTAATTAATTAATTAATAACGCATGTAGTGGAAGTAATTCTGCAATTTATATATATATATATATATATATTTGTGAATGGAATGGAAGAAATTGCAAGAATGAGGCATGCAGAAAGTTGGTCCTTGGCAATGGAGAATTGACATGTTTTGAGCTTTTGTGGGTGTTGGGCAGTGAGCCCCTCTCCTCTATGTTCATCTTTTATTCCAAATTATATTCATTATTTTTTTTAAATTTAATTTAATCAATTGATTTTATCATGTTTTTTTTATCACCACAACCACTTAGAGTGAAATTGTATTTATACAACTTAGCAAGCATTCAAATATAAAACGAAAAAATATTTATTTTTTATAATCATTTTAATTAATATATGTACACAGTCAGCCTATATTGTAATTTATTCCCTTGTTTTCATCTCCTTTTCTGTGAGTGTCACTCAGCTTTATATTAATATATATATAAATTTATTTAAATATTTTTATATAAAACAAAATCCTGTGACTGAGAAGATGAAGAAGAAGACATGCATAGAGAGAGAGAGAGAGAGAGAGAGAGGGGTGTGAGGTGATAAACGTGACATATATATACATATGTATGTATGTATGTATATATATATGAGTGCAGGCTAACTGTGTATATTCTCCACTCTGATGAATTGCTGCTGTCCATCCTTAAAACCTGCAAGAATTTCGTGACTCATCACGACAACCATATGAACAGATTAAAAATTAAAATTAAAATTAAAAATTAAAATTAAATTTATTTTTCTCCAACATCCTCAATTTCAGATGACATAAATTAGTTAAGTTCGAAGCTGTTGGGAATTTATCAAACTCATGAGTCGAATTAGGGATTCAAACAAATTTGTTGAATATTGTTTTAATTTTTATTTAATTAGTATTTTGATTTAATATTTTATATAAAAAAATGTAATATATATATTATATATAATTGAGGATTGAATAGTATTTTTTAGTTATCATACAATTTTATTGTTATATATTTTTTCAATTGTGATTAAAAAAAATGGTTTTTTAAAATAAAATATTATATTATTTTTTATAAAACAAAAGGTAGAAAAAAAAATATATTCATATTAAAAACATACCCAAAAAATATAAAAATTCGATGGTGAAAAGATTAAATACTCCATCTCCTGTAACTAAATATTCATTTGCTTTTTGCATGTAATTTTAGAAATATTAGTATTATATTGGGATGTAGTAGGAATAAAATATAAATGACTAAAATAACCTTGTTTGTGTGATATAAAAATAATGACATTTGTGCGATATATTGTAAGTTTTAAGGGTATTTATAATGTTAAGTAGATAGTACAATTACTAAAAAAAAATGAATACTTTGTTATGGGACAGATTAAAATGGAAAAATTGATACTTATGGGACAAAGAGTATTTTTTATTTGAAATAAAAACCAAACAAACTTGTAAAGTATTTTTGATTAAAATAAATTTAAAATATGTTTAAATATTTTTAAACTATACTTCTATAAAATATCCTCAATAAAAAAAATTATATACATATTTTTTATACATAATTAATATAAGTAGTTTATAAAAATAGAAAATTATAAATATATTTATTTATTATAAATATATCTTACCTTAAAAAAGGTTGAGAAAATAATTAATAAAAAAAAATAAAAAAAAATAAAAAAAATTTGCAAAGATAGTGACAAATCTGAATCCAGCTGATATGTATAGATATTATGGCAGGTTTTTGTTGTTTCCTCTTATTTAGCCATCTTGCCATTCCCGCCATGACGACTTCCGAATCAAATTGTATGACGTATATTAATGAGTGGTTTCCATTAACTTTAAAAAAAAAAAAAAAAAAAGAAATAAAAAAAGCAAAAATTAAAAGTAGAAATATTTTTATTTTGTGTTTAAACATAATAAAATTAAAAATACTTTAAATGCTTTAGTTACGGGTTAAATCAGTATAGTGTTGGACCGATAAATATATATTTAAAAAAACAGATAGCACATATTAATATATATATAGATATATGTATAAAACATATATTTATAGCATATTATATAATTATACATAACACTTGCTGATTTGATTCAATGATTACATGTTTATTTAGAAAGTAATACATATTAATATAATTTATAATATATATATATTGATAGCATATTATACAATTACATATAGTATAATATATTTTAATTTCAACACAATAATACAATAAGCAAATTATTTAGTACAACACAATATATAACCCAAACAATAAATATTAATACAATATATATTATAACACATTATATAATTTTGTATAGCACAATATATGTTTATGCCAATGCAATGTACTCCTTCCCTCCTGAATATTTTGTCTGCGTTACTGTAGACACGGGAATTTAGTAGGGGTATAATTAGTAAATAATTAAAAATGTATTAGTAAAAATAATTATCGTATAAAAATAATTATGGATTAAAATTAAGATTAAAAAAATTTATTTGTATAATTAAAATTAAAAAAAATTATAAATTAATTTTTAAAAATAAGATTAAAGTATATAATTATTTTCCAAAAAAAATTGACAAAATAAATGGAACGGACAGAAATGAAAAGGTGGACGGAGGAATTATAACTCACCCAACCAATTTGCCTAAATAACACATAATGAAATATTGATTACTTCACGCCAGTTGTTTCATGCTATGGTTCTTATTTGATCCGATCAATACTCTAACCATCATCTACTTTAAGTTGTCAAGATTACAAAATAAAAAATTATTAATGTAAATATATTTTTTAACAAAACTTTTATAATTTATTTTACAATTTTATAAATTACAATATTATTTTTTAAACAATAGTTATCTAGTTTATTAACTATCGTAAAACTTGTATTGTATTTTTACACTAAATACTACTTTTGTCGTAATAAAAAATGATGTTCATTTAACTGGGCATGAATTTTTTATTTTTTTTTTAAAAAACCAATGATTAAAAAAAAAATTTATAGTAAAAAAAATAAAAAATTGATATTTTTTACTAATAGTAAACAAGAATCTTTTTTTATTGACAATTAAAAAAATGTAGGCATAAATTTAGATGACGGAGAGTAATATTTTATTTAATTTAATTTTTATTAACATTGTTTACTAATAAAAAAATCTATGAATATTAGTTAATTGAAAAAGAAAATCATACCATAATAATTAAGTGGTAATATATCATACTTTAAATGTATCATTTTGTTTTTTATAAATTAAACAGGCCCTATCCTTTCATTTCCGTCTGTCTCATTTATCTTATCATTTTTTTTTTTGAAAAAAAAAATTATACATTTTAATATTATTTTTTAATTTAATTGGACTAATTAATTATCTTAATCTTAATCAAAAATTATTTTTATTATGCTGTAATTATTTCACTAATAAATTCTTAATTATTTACTAATTATACTATTCTTTAAATTTTCGTATCTACAATAAATATAACACGGTAGCCGGAACGGAGGGAATAGTGGTTTATTGTTTGATTGAAGTGTATAATAATTAAAATGATTTTGACATTTTTACCTTTGTAAGTACAAATGTGGTAAATATTTTGATATTAATATATTGGTTATTTTTGCATTATAAAAAATAGATATTTTTAAGTAAAAATGACCAAATAAAATAAAATAAAATACATTAAATTAGAATTGAGAAAAGATGTAATTTTTAATTTTATAAGTATCTACATAAACAATAAAATATCTTTATACCTCACACTATTACAAAAGTACGACTATTTTATTTAACCATTTATGCATGTACTATCATAAGTATTTTATTCGATTCATTCTGATTTTACATAAAATATTAATATTTCTTAATTTACGTAACAAAATGAATACATATAAAATGGCGGGAGACTATATAGCATACTAGACACACTTCCGGCTTTTCTTTTTTTTTTTTTTTTTTTGTTAAATTTCATTCTTTCCTCGATTATGCCAAATTCACGATTTTTTTCCCTCTCGGTCTAACCAAATGCACGATTAAATCTATCGTAATCGAGATACGATCAAATTTGGCGTGAATAGAGTTCACAAATTCATTTCATTTATAGTCACATAAAAAATACGTCGATATTAATAGAAGTTCGTTAAATGTGGGAGAGACATGCATATTAGGGTTTTGTTTGGTTTGTTAGTAGAGATAGATACATCTCTCTCTCTCTCTCTCTCTATATATATATATATATATTGTGTCCTCTGACAATGAGTGTATGTCCTAAAACGAGAAAAATGCATATGGAAGGATCATCATCGTCGTCACTCCATTTGGCATTTTCTGTGTTTGCTAACACACAATATTACATACCCCACGCCATCCACCCCACCCCACCCCACCCCACCCTCTTATTACTCATCATTATCTTTGTTCTTAAATCTTCATGTGTCCTACCCTAAATAGTTATAAATAATTATTTAGTAAAAATAATAATAATAATAACAATATTGTATTGGTGTGCTGATTTGTGTAAGATGTAAATATAAATAACTCTTGGAATTATATATAATGTGAAGCTATTTTGGTACATAAAAATAAAAGTGATAATAAACTAGTTATTAAATTGAAATCATATATATTATAAATAAAAAAGTATATATATATATATATATATGTTATTTAGATAGGAGAACCTTAAATGAAAAATAATACTATTATATTAAGGCCAATTTTGGACATGGGCCACTTGGGCCTACTCACAAAGCTCAAAATTCTTGGGTCGTCTTTGGGGATTATTTTATCAAAAAATACATATATAAAATAAATATTGTAAATATATGTATAATATCATAGTATTTATATTATACTAAGTAGTTCTAATAACTATTACTTTTTACGTGTTAATTTTTGAATATATTTTTTTCAATTAAAAATAAAATAAAATAAAATAAAATAATTATGCATTTTTAATAATTTGCCACTTATATTCAATTTTTTTAGTAAAAAAATAATAAAAGAATATAATTATGCTAAATTTTTTCAATTTCAAGAACAATATTCTTGTCAAAAAAAAAAAAAAAAGTTTCTTTTTCTTTTTCTTTTTTACATTGCTGCACCAAAAAAGAATATATCAAATTGATGGGAATAAACAACAATTGAGCTTTTCGTATGAAACGGATTAGTAAATAAAATGGGGTAAAACAAGAATTCGATTAAAAACAAACAGTGAAATGAATCATACTTGAATTATAGATTAGAAAACATGAAAAGAAAAATAAAAAATGCATAAATTTACAACAGAATGCAAGCAATATTGAATAAAAACATAGAAAAACGAAAGAGATGTAAGAACATGGAAAGTTTCATTCAATTTGTGTGTTATTTGATATGTTTGGTGTTGTCTTTTTGTTTCATTATTATTCGTTAAGTAATGTACGCCATTATTTTTATTTGTCATTTTTTTTTAGTTTCATCGTTCATCGATTACCTTCATTAATCTCTCATTTTCGCTTGAGAACTATAATATCTTCCTTGTAATAAACTTGGCCCCTGATCTACATGATCGCCCTTTTTCGGGCTGCTCAACTCTCCTATGTTCCTTTTGCTCAACTCCCCTGTGTTCCTTTGAGCATTATTTTCGTCTCCTCAATCCAACACTTTTATTACTTAAAATTGATATATTCAAGTATTTATATCTATTTTGTGAAATAGTTAAAAAGATATTTATTATATAAATATAGAAAATTATATAGTTAATATAAAAATAATAAATATATATAATATATTAATTTTTTAAAAAAAATATATATAGAAATTTTTCATAAAAAGAAAAAAAAATTTGTTTTGAGACCATCAAATATGACTATGTATTTTATGAAGGTGTGTGTGTGTTTTTTTTTTTTAATTTAAATAAAAATTACTATTATTTAATATGTATGATTTTTAATAAAATTATACTGCTCTATATGTCCCTTGACGATCAATCCATTTTGGTATGTCGAATAACAAAATATCTATTTTATTTTGTAAGTAGTTGTACTATGTATCTAACATTACAAATATTATTCTAATTCACCGTATATTACACAAATTTCGTTAAATTTATATCATTATTTCTACTTATATATAAATATAATACTAATATTTCTAAAATTTTGTAAAAAAAAACGGATAGATAGATATGAGAATGAGAGAGTATATTTTATAAAATATTATGTCAATAATATTTTAAAAAATTCAAATCAACACTTTTTTTTCAAATTAATTTCAAACACTTAAAGAAAAACATAGATAAATCTTCTATCATTTCAAAATTAAGGTTCTTTTTACTTATGATTAACGCTTGTTTATTTGATGGTGAAAAAATAATAATAATAATAATCCACCATAATAATTTTTAAAACATTTTATATTTCTTTTGTTCTGTCATATATGATTTTTTTTTATCCGTCCCATAAAAATAATTTCATTTTTATTTTTGTAAATTTATAAATTTTAAATATATTTAATGAATATAAATTAATTTAATTAAATTTATAACTTCGTAGACGCAAGACTCATTCAAACTATTTTATTTTTATCTTTTCTCAATTAATAAATATTTTTATTTAGCTTTCAAAGTTCTACTTTTTTATAAAATTAATTTATGGTAATGATAAACAAATAAATATATTTTTTTATTTATTTGTATCATATAAAATTTTATTCTGATATTCATATTATATATATTTTATTGCGATATAATGTTAAAATATTTATAAACATATTTTAGATTTCTTTTAATGATTAAATAATTCATTTTCATTATCTAAATAACTAATCTATACTATTTAAATTTTGGTATCCAAACAAAATGTTTCATTTTTACAAGTATATGATAAAAATAATACTGTTTTTTTTTTTAAATTAATTTAGTTATTTTGCTATTTTAATTTCTTGAAATTAATCTTTCTTTTTAATAATTTTATTTTAATATAATTTTTTAAAAAACTCTTGTTCTGTTATGAGTTTTAGCACATATTTTTATTATTCAGATTTTCTTCAAAAATATCAAATCAAACAATTATTTTTCTTTTTATATATTCAAAATATTACACCAACTTTTATATCACGTTAAACAAATATTTAAATTCAATTTTTTTACTATTAAAAATCCAAACGACAAAAACTAAAATCCAAAAACAAACACACTTTTATATTTTTTTCTGTTTCAAAATAAGATATTTATTTTATTTTTATTTTTGTCTCTTCTAAAATAAGATAGTCATATTTTTTATTAATTGTACTATTTATCTAATTGTACTTTAATATTTTATAATTTATATAAAAATAAAAAATATTTTAAAACTAATGTATAATTATTTTAATTATAATAAAACTATTATTCCCTTAATTCATTAAAATTAGCACACTTGAGAGTTTAAAAAAAATGAATATAATAATTGGGAATATTTTTGAAAATTTAGTTAGAAACTAAAATAAATAAAGAGAAAGAATGTAATAAAGTTAGTGATATTTGTTATAAATAAGTATTGAACAGAGGATAATAATTAAATATTGATTTGTTAATAATGTGATAAATTTAATATTTTAAATTAAAATGAATAATATAAAAAACAAATAGACCCGCAATAAGAAAAAACTATATTTTAATAATAAAAATTATTATAATAAAAAATACTTTTTCTATCTTATTTAAATTATTGTAGTATAATTAATAAGTAAATAAAAAGTTTAGTAATAAAAATAATTAAGTAATGTAATTAAATTTGAAAAATAATTAAAATATATAATTATATTTTAAAAATAAAAAAGACAAATCGGAACGAATCTAAATAAAAATTGTAAAAGAAGAACAATTATTTTTTAAAAAAAATGAAGCTAAATATTCGTAATTTTCCCTATTATAATTACGAATTTGGGCGCTTGTCCTCGCTAGAAATCCTGTCTCCAGACAGTCGGACGGAAACAAAATTGAAGTAGAAGGATGCAATGTGTTAACAAATTCTCCTTGATTTCACCATCACCAACCTCCACATCTGATTTTCCAAATTTGCAGTCTAATCCGACGTTTCTTCGCCTCAGGATTGAAACCAAAAAGCCATATCATAGTTCAGAAGCTTATGACGACAATCAATGCAAAATTGTGTCCAAAAAGGCTGTCCTTTTACCTCCAAATGTGAAAGCCATTACAAGCACATCAAATCCATTTGTCAAACACTGTGTCAAGCTTCGGCAGAGCTCCTCGTATCGCCATTCCCACAGCTCCGTGCTTGTTGTCGGCACCACGCCGATTAGGTACTTCTTTCCTTTAATAATCGTTGTTGATATTGTTGTTGTTAACGTTGGTTAAATTTTGCTTTCGATGTATGTTCTTGCAATGTTAAAGATTTAAACGCAACTCATATATTCCGTTTTCGTTTGTTCTAATGTCGGGTTTTGTAGTTGGTGCTCATTGTTGGAGTTGTGCAGGCCATGTGTTTGTGGAAATGTCTTGACATTGGAGATTATTCTGAGTGCTTTTTCAGGGTCTATATATGTTGGTGAAACATTAGGGCATTGGCCTGATTTAGGTTTTGTTGCAAAACATACATTAGGAGTTTATAGAATTAATTAGAAGGGGATGAATTAAATAGTAAAAAATGTTTTAAAATCCACATTTAGTTGTTAGTTAAAGAAAATTGGAAGTAATCCATAGTGTGTCGGTAAGCAAAGTACTGGTGCATGAAGTTTGGCTTTCATCCCTATAAGCTTTTCGAATCCCACATTTATCCTTTAGTAAGATTTGGACTCTGTAGATTATCCCTGATACCCTTGAATACTAAGTGCTGAAACCTAACAATATTGAGGGATTATTTCAGAGAATAGAAACGGCATAAGAATCATTGTTAAGACTGGTCGAAGTCACTTGTAGCAACAATAAGATTCTCAACCTTCTAGTTTGTCAGTCCCATGGTTCTTATTACTATTGCTGAACCAATCTTGTTGTTTGTTTTATCTAGAAAGTAGCTGGAATTATGTGGTCATTGACAGGTTTTTAAGTTTTGGTGAAGTAGCTTGTTAGTGATAATCAAGTCGAGCTTGAGATGTCAATGTTAATGTACAAAAGTTTAAAATATGTTGCTGAATTGAGACATAATCATGCAATTTATACATGCATTTTAACGTAAGTTACGTAACTTAACTGCTCAAGCTCAATTGGGGATCTGTTTTAATCAGTCAATGTTCACAATGTAATACTGTTTTCTTTCCCAAATTTTGTCTATTTACATACATGCAAACTAATCCATAAAAAGAAAAAAAAATCGGTTTAGATGAGAAGCTTTACATAATTACATATGTGCAGGGAAATAGCCAGCTTTGATAAAGCCCAGTCACAGAGGCCTACAATTGACTGCTTGTTCGTGCTCGAAAACAGTCAGATCCCTGAAGAAATAACTAAGAATGCTGCTCGTGTGGTTCATGTTAGTTCAGAGGTGATCAGTAAAATCTCTGGTGTTCTATCCACTGACTCGGTTGAAGTGATTGCCTTGTTGAAAATTCCTTCGACATTTTGCGACATTGGAAACAGCTTGGATCAGAAAGATTTTCGTAGGTTGTTTCCATTCCCTCACCGAATTCTTGTTCTTGATGGGATCCAGGTATTCTTAAATTAAACACATCTAGATCTTCTGACCATATACACAGATGAAGAAGACTTCCGTGTTTGAAACTTAGACTCACATCAAAGTTTAGGGAAAGACAAAAATAACACACAACTCAGCTTTATTCATAGTGTCGATACACAAACCATATTAACTTAGAGTTTACTATAAGAAGTGCTTATCTCTGTTTTAGTCGACAATATAGTTGATTTTAAATTTTAGTATACAGTTAGCTGCAGCTTTTCTAATTTTTAATGTTGTTGTGATTGAATAGGATGAATATTGAGTTATACCTGCAGCCCTTCTTTAATTTAATACACATAAAAAATAAAAAAATAGGTTAAATTGCACAAAACCCACACGTGGTTTCATGAAATTGCACAAAATCCCGCTTACTTTTAAAATTGCGTCAAACTCCCTTGTGGTTTCATAAGCTCTGCGTCTAACCCTTCGACCCTCCTTATTTAGCGTTGTTTGACCTGCACCCGCCCAAAATGTGAATAAGTTTGAGAATCTTCATTTCTAAACATTTGAAATTACAAATGTAGTCATTATTCTTATTATTTAACTTCAAGAGACAGTAAATATACTAAAAAATAGTTATTAATATCTTATTTTAAAAGTTTTTTACTATTTTTTAAGGCTAAATATAAGATAACTGAATATATTTATAACTTTAGGAGTTTAGAAATGAGTATTCTGAAATTCATTAGCAGTTTGAGCGCGTGTATAATTTATAAAACCACGAGGGAGTTTGACGCAATTTTGAAAGTACGGGGGATTTTGCTGCGAAACATGTGAATTTTATGCAATTTAGTCCAAAAAAAAAGAAATGATTTTGTTCCCATCAAAATTTTCGGCTCTGAAATCTATGGGATGAATATCATCAAAAGTTGTCTCTTCCTGTAATTGCCTTCTTGTGGAACTAAAACAGTAATCGACAATTCTTCTGGAACTAAATGTGTGATTTTGCCATCTGATCCTGAAAAGCTAATGCTTTATATTAGGAACAATGTTCTCTTAATGCAGATTTCTATTAATGTCTGAGCAAATGTTCAAAACTTACCACACGAGCTTGCTTAAGTCAATAAAACTATATACAACGGCACCAAACTCACGCAGATTTTTTGGCAGGATCCTGGCAACCTCGGCACACTAATTAGATCTGCCAAGGCATTCGGATGGGTAAGACTAACTAACTTCGATTCCCATCATAGATCTGCATAAGATGGAATTTATTAGGTTAATGTATGATTGCATATAATATTCCTTTGGTTCGACAGGATGGGGTGTTTCAGCTGCCCGGCTGTTGTGATCCATTCAATGACAAAGCCCTGCGAGCTAGTCGGGGGGCTTGCTTTCAGATGCCAATAGTTTCGGGCAGTTGGACACACGTGGAAACTCTTGGACAAGAATTTCAAATGAAGATGTTGGCAGGACATCCTGCAACTGACGATTGTCGGTATCCGGTGATGAGGCTGTGTAAAGAGTTTGCAGATTCAGTGGCGGAGAGGGGTGTGTGCTTGGTGTTGGGAAGCGAAGGAGGCGGGTTGTCCGACCATAGCCGGAAGGTTTGCGAGCTTGTGGCAATTCCGATGGCCGGAGAGTTCGAGAGTGTTAATGTTTCTGTTGCCGGCGGCATTTTCATGTACATGTTGCAAAATGAGAGGTGCAAACATGTTTGACAATTTTATCACTCCTTCGGTCGCAGTTAGATGTATTCATTCGACTTTTGTACGCAGATTTATATATATTAGTATTTTATAGGCAATAGTATTCTATTTACTTTTTAGTGACATTATTTGTAATATTGTGTAAAATATGTGTATTTTTTATTAAACTAAAAGTTACTTTAACTTAAAAAAAAAAAAAAAACCAAATATGTTGAGTTGCATAGACAAAATATAATAGTTACATATGACTCGGACGAAGAGTATCATTAATTTATGACATATAATAGTATTTTGCAACAATGAGATCTAAATAAACCGATTTTAGTTTGTACCCATAATATATTAAAATCGAGTTTAAATAATTTAAATAATGGTTTCAATTCTTACAATCTGGTAACAATGGGATTATCGTCAGACCATTGATTGATGATGAATTCATGACCTCGGTTTGGGATGTAGCAATTCAGGTCTCGGCTCAAGATATGATGTGAAAGTATTCTCCGGCCATTATACGAGTTCTGAATTGCTATCGATATATTATATTAGTTTTTAGTTATTGGAGTCTGCACTATATCGGGCCGTGCATATTGTCTGAAATTCTTAAAATGTAAGTCAACACAAATCTCAAGATTTTGTTCCCATAGAGGCTATGATTGTAACCAGTTCTATGATTTTTTAAGTATAGTGCCGATTCATATGGTTTGGTGTATGTTAGAGAGATGTCGGATTTACTTTCACCATCTTAACTTTATCTTTATCCCAAAATATTAATTTGTTATAGATAGTAGAGGGGATGTAATGACCAAAATGAATCATATCCTTAACTTGGTGGATGATATTTTTGACATTTCACGACTTAGGTTGTGCAGTTGCATCCATGTGTTCCTGACACTACAAAAAAAATAGTATATTTGTAACGGAATTCCGTTCCTAAAGTTCACGTAGCTAACATAATTCCATCACTAATTCCGTCTCTAATATCATTAGTAACGAAAAAAGTGGATTTAAGAACGAAAAAATCTCATTACAAAATTGATATTTTTTTTGTAGTGGATGTAGTCCGACTGATGCATTTGATTAGATGTCTAATCATCGTGTCGTGCTATACATTTGGCCATAAAATTTTAACCAACACAAACCTTTGTTTCTGAAAACCATTGGTTGGTTTGGTGTCGAGTGAAATCATCCGATGGGATTCTCAATAATTTTTTAAGGAGATGTCCAACTGCTAAAGTGTTTTTGTTCGTCTCATACGAGGCCATCTTGTTGGCCTGGCGATAGATCTGAATTATCAACATTTTCAATTATCGCATTGCCTTTGTCATACCTGTATGGAGATCGTCATCGAGGAGCTCTATCGTCCCTATGGTGAGGTCGGTCGTAATGTTATGATGAAAATTTGAACTTAGGGAAAGGTTCATTATCCATTTTCATACTGACGAATTTGCGACTCTCGTTCTTTAAGGATTTTTGTATGATCGTTTTAATGAAAACAATTTGCAGTGACATATCGAAATGAATTGTGTCATTTGCATTATATTTGCCTTTTGATCTCCTGAGGCAAGGCCAATTTTTAGCCCTTAGGAATACGAATTTGACCGCCTTTTAATAATTCATTGAAACTACATCGGCTTAGGTAACATCGAACAAACAATCTTCCTTATGTAAATTGGGTATGTGTTTACCCTTTGGAGGCTTGAGAATGACGCAAATATAAGACTTTTCGGACACTAGTTCTGTTGTGGTCTCCTCAATAACGTTTGGGAGTTCATACCCATCTATCGTACCTCCACATTATTTACAACAATTTGGAATTTGACTTGTTTGCCTCTAATCTTTTCTTTATGGAAAAGCGTTCTAGGTGTACTGTCTTGACTGTCAATTGTATTAAATTTTGAGCTTGGTGAGCAGTACGTTTAGATCTCTAAGATATGTCAACATGTTTCTAATTTCAATATTAGCGAGTTCGAATTCACTAATGATCACTGGACATCGAACCTTAGTCCGTCTGAATTTTTCAATAAAGGACATGGCTTATTCCCAAATTTCTTATTTTGTTTTCATTAATATATAAACGTAGTTTCCGGTATGAGACTGTAAAATATGTCGTGGAATTCTTGCTCTATTTATGTTCAATTTTGCATGGAATCAGTGCGAAGGGACGAGTATCATATAAAGGCGGTTTTTGTAAGAGTTAATGAAAATAATTGTAATTTGTAAAACTCGTTAAAAGATAATTTCTCTAACTAGAATTGTAAATCTGACCACATATTCAAAAAACTATTGACTTTCTTCTCCAAAAAATATGAAAGACTCAATAATCCTAACTTGCCAAGACAATGAATAATTGCAATTTCTACCCTTTCTGGAAAAGGGCTCCAGTATGCAAGATCGTGTGGCCCTTGGCCTTGGTTACTAAAGTATTGACGTGCAGCATCCTGTGCCATTTGCACTGCATCCGAATATTCTTGCCCCGGTTGTACTGAAGGCTGGCTGTAGGTTTCATTGTGGCGGTTCTAGAGCCACCTGTGGTTGTTGAAAGTAGGGTGCGCCTTCGGGAATATTGCTGTATGGCCAAGAGATCCCCTGTTGAGGAGTGGACTGTACAAATGACTCGTCGTTGAGCATAGGCCCCGGAGCATAAATCGTAGTTCGCGGCACACTGTAAGTTTAGGTAGTGTTAGCATTTGTAAACATTGGTACAAATGCATGTGAGCGTTGTTGGTCATGATTTTCAAATTCGATCAAAGTAACGACCGTAATTGATATGTTCCGACACCACTTTCGATTTGGGAAGACGATAGGATTTTGTTAAAACATGTTATCTATTGGGCTATAGTAAAAAAAACTGTGGATTAGTTTTAGGCACATCATTCAAAGATAGTATGGTCGTATTAGTATCACTATGCGTGGCCAAATAAGTTTTCACTTTCATTGCAGTGAATCCATCCAAAATGAATAGTCTCCTCCACTTAAGGTTATTGTTTCGAAACGAGTCGATGTACAAATCTTTCAAATCATAGTACGATGAATTGGGAATCTATTATTATTAGTTTATTAAATGTTTTTACAAGAGGTTTGAGTAAACAGCAAGATCGAAGTTTTTTTATTTTTATTATTTTATTATTTTTGTAAAAGCAATGAATGATGTTAATGCATGTGTTTTGGGTTCCCAATTGGCAATCTCCTCCGCCTGTAACTCAACTCAGCTCAACTGCAGCCGAAGCCATTTATTAGTCACGCCGCAGAGCCAACGGCTCGGCTCCTTTGGCAGCCGCACCTCCGCCGGGAATGTCGTCGCTGAAGCTCCCACAGCCGCCGTTCTCCGCCGCTGTCTGCTCCCTTCGAGGCTCTCTCCTCACTCTTGCCGTCCTCACCCTCGTCTCCTTCATTTACGTCTCCCTCAGATCCCTCAACTCCTCCTTCCACCAGACCTTCTCCCCTACCCCCGTCGCCGTGCAGCGCTCTCCGTCCAAGGTACTGCTATAATCCCCTCCCTCTGCGCCTTCGATTTGGCAATTTCGTTAATTTTGTAGTTCAATCTTGTCGGGAATTCGAAGGTGTTGCGCGGCGGCGACGCGGATCATGTGGGGAAATTGGAGGCGTTGGAAAGGAGTGGAGTCGAGAGTGACGGACGAGACGACGATGTTTATCATTCATCTAAGGTGTTCGAATTGAACTACGAGGAGATGATGAGTAAATTCAAGGTTTACATTTACCCTGATGGGGATCCGAATACGTATTACCAGACTCCTCGGAAGCTGACGGGGAAATACGCGAGTGAGGGATATTTCTTTCAGAATCTTAGGGAGAGTAATTTCGTGACGAATGAGCCAGATCAGGCGGATTTGTTCTTCATCCCAATCTCTTGTCACAAGATGCGTGGTAAGGTATGCAGACAGTTTTAATTTTGATGAGTATTAATGATTTAATGTTCAATTTGATGGCTGTTGAATTGGCAGCGTGCACCATTCAATCCTAATACTCCATGTTAGGAATCTTGAGTGCTATTTCCTTTGATAATATTTTGAGTTTCCATAGATACTGAAGTGTTGATTGCTCTGCAACTTTGAGGCTTAAAAATGATTTTGGTGGAATTTTTTGTTGTTGGTTGCTTGTCCCTTTTAGGAGATTACTTGTCTGTTAAGATCTGAAGAAGGGTGTGTCTTTTATTGATTGGTTTTGATCTTGTATTTGGTGTCAGTAATAATGAGATTATTGATACTACATGCCTGTTTTCCTAGACCAAAGTATGATTTGAGTTTGATGGTTGTTTTTGTTCTTTTGTCAACTTCACCTATACTTCTCTCTGTTGTGTGGCTTGAAAGAAGCATTGTATGTTAGGATGGCTGACACTAGCATCAAACGATGTAATTAGAAGTTGGGAAATTTCTCCTGTGGAAACATGCTTGTAGGGACCTTGTTAATGAATTTTTTTACTAAGAAGGGTCATCCTATTATTTTTTAACCGTTGTTTTGTTTATTCAGTACATATATGTTTCTTCTCCTTGTCTCCTCTCCTTCAACTGAAGTCCTTTCTCTTTTCTGAAGCGTTACCATCTATAAAATGGTCTTTCATGAAAGATAGATGTAGGGAGATGTTTCAATCTAGTATCTGCACCATGGATTCTTGGCTGAGGAAAATGATTAATACTAGGTTTGTTAACTGTTGATGTATTTTCAGACTAGGGCAGTATGGCTAGGTGAATCTTTTTTTATCCAGCTCTTTTCAGAAATATTGTCTCTATCTTCTCTGTTTTTAACTTGAACTTTTGTCCGAGGCGTAGCATAGCACTCTAATTTCACCAATTGCCTTTTGCATTCTGCAATCCTGCATGCCAGGTTATTATTTATTTATATTAACCCTTTCACTTAGTTTAAGACTGCTGTTTTCTAACTCTTGTTTTTTGTATTAGATATCTTGTTTATTATTTTTATTCATTTTTTTTTTTTTGTGGAGGAACAAAGATTCCTCTCAATTTTTATTTTTTATTTTTGTTTAAATACCATTTTAATCGTGTTTTAGTGATATGGTGGCTTGTGTATTTGCAGATTGAGTAAATTCTGGCCTTTGTTTGAATCATTAAGGGTGTGTTTCTCTTGTGTTTTTATTTTTATTGTATTTTTTGTTTTGATGTTTTTAGGATAAAATAGTTGTTTGATGTGGAATTTTGTATGGAAAAAAATGGGCGTGGATGCTATGTTTTTGTAGGGAAAATAAAGATTGAATAGTGAAAGAAATGGTATTGAAAACATAAAAGAAAAAAAGCCTTCTTGGCATTGTCAACCTTTGAGAATCCACTTGTTATTGGAACCACTATTAAATTAAATGGTGAAAATATGGTACATAGTCTCAAGATTTAAGCTTGTTTTGTCACGCTAAGTTAATTGAGTATTATTCTTTTTGGTCCTTCAAATTCTAAAAGTACTGATTTTTATGGGAATGAATATGACTGCTTAAAAATATTATGGGAAAATTAGTTGATGTTATTGGGAGTTACTAAATATATGCTGTATCGGTTGGAATGAGATGTATGCCCTTTACTAAATATCTCTCATGTAAGTAGGTTTTGTAGAATATTGTTGTCTATGAAATAATATATGCAGTGTTTGTTTTGAATCTAGCACAATGGTCAATTACAAAATCATTTTAAAATTCATTGATAATTGTGAACTGTGCCTAATGCTTATAGTATTATTTCTCAACAACTGGAATTCATGAACCCCATAACAAGAAAAATATTGCATTTCGGTATATTTTCGAGTTTTGGGTTGGTTTGGAAAGAGTAAGAAGTTGAATTATTAGTATGTGTTAGGAGTTGGATGTGATATTTTGAATAAAGAATAAAGAATTTATTTTATATTTTAAATAAAAAATAGGTAAATGTGATGATTTGTTAGAGGGAGTTTTTGGTGCCTAGTGTTAACTAATTTCTGAACATAAGTGAACAGATTGGTTAATGATGAAAAAACTTAGTATTTGAGCTATTGGTATGCTCTCACAAAATCCATACTTTCCAATGACATGTCAATGCTATTCTCCCGTTACCGGCGTTCCTCGGCATAGTAAATTGACTTACCTTGTCCCCAGAGGTGAAACACAAGATTTTGAATATAACATGATCAGAAGTTCCCGTAATTCTCAATTTTGGAAAGTCTTGCCACTTGATTTGGTCTCTCTTATTTTCATCAAAATAAGTATGAACTCCTTGCACTATACTAGGGAATATAATGTAATTTATAATTCAAAAGGCACAGGTTTTACCAAGGAATTCCTAAAGATGAATCTCTGTTTCATTGAAGCAAGAGAAATCTTATAGGTTTATTAGAAAACAAATAAAATTTCATAGAGATAAATTCCGCTGCTGAACAAACCTTAAAAGTATTGTAAATTGTGTATATGTAAGCTACATCAATTTCGTAAAATAGGGGGAAGTCATAATGTTAACTTAGTGAAAATAATGCTAAATGTTGTAACAGGATAAAGCCTTTTGTGTATAAGCCTGGGCAGTCTGTAATATAGATAAGAGTCTTTTTCTACCTACAAACAAGGGGGCACTGGAGATGAGGCGTGAGATTGCATCATGGAAGAAATCCTTTGGCCAACCATTTCAGTTAGTTAATTATGTTCATCAATTTCTTGCTAAATGGTTAGTTAATTATGTTTATCAACTTCTTGCCACCATCTTTCTCTATCTGTCTCCCTTTAGAAAATCTTGACTTGGATGCAAAGGGCCTTTCCACTGAATGATATCGAGTTATATATATGACACCAAGCAGAAGTCTTTGGCATGGACTTTAGAATTGACATCCTTCATAATTTTATAATGCTGATAATTTCTTGTTAGCGACTTTTAATATTGACCAATTCGAGCCCCATCATGCATCAATTCCACCATTACCTTGTTACCTACTTCAAAGATGGTAGCCAGATGGTGCTTGCTTATGATTCCCTTATTTTTGCATTACTTTTGTCCACCATCCTTACTACCTCTAGGAATTCTTACGCATCATTAATCATATTATCTGCACCTACACTATAATCCAGAGTTAGGAAATCTTATTATATCTACATGTGGAAGGGACTCAACATAGACACTAGGACATGGAGGCCACAATATCAAAAGCAGTAATATGGGGTTCAACAAAAGCTGTAATCTGATGATTACAAATTAAAAGGTTGATGTGCTGACTCTCAGTGGAAATCTAGAAAAGCATTGTTCTCAATACTAACTTACTGAAATTGAGAGATTCTTTGATTATATCTATGTCTTGGAGGAAAATAGATGAAGCTTGTTGCCAACAAGCCAAAAGGTAGAGCCACCTTGGGGTTGTGTGTTTGCACATATTGTTAAGAATGTCACCCGCTTTATTATCAAATTGTGAATTCTTCAATTTGAAAAACTGAGTAGCAATATTAGGGAATTGCATCATTTAAATCTATTGTTATGTCTCTTTTAATTTCAGGGGAGTTGTATAATTTTCACTTCCTATAAGAGAATGATTACAAATCATGCATTTTTTGGAAAAATGTGCAGGGTATATCATACGGAAATATGACCATAATAGTCAAGGACTATTTGGAGAGCCTGATATCCAAGTATCCCTATTGGAACAGGACACTGGGTGCAGATCATTTCTTTGTTACTTGCCACGATGTAGGTGTGAGAGCCACTGAAGGACTCCCGAATCTGGTAAAAAACTCCATTCGTGTTGTTTGTTCTCCCAGCTATGATGTTGGGTTTATACCGCACAAAGATGTTGCCCTCCCACAAATTCTTCAGCCATTTGCCCTTCCAGCTGGAGGAAATGATGTGGAAAATAGGTATTCAACTTGATATTTCTTTATCCATTGATATGATTTCTAAAGTTTCCTATTTATACTTTAGCTTAGATAATCAGTATGTTCCTTGTATTTCATTCTACATCACACAGAATTTAACTTGTTGCACTTCTGTCCATCAATGAAGAAGAGCTGATCATGCTTTATGATCCTAAAAACTTATATAGACAAATGAAGTATGAGGGGTGAAAGATTCTCACTGATGATTTCCTTTCTGATACAAAACACTTGATAAGTAGCATTTACTACAAGATAATCAGCCCTTTCCTGCTTTATAATTGGTTAGATCTCAAGGTATGGAAGGTTCTTTTTCATTGTCAGATAAAATTGCATTATCTCCCAGCATATATATTTGATTATAATTTTTTTCTGTCATTTGGCGTGACACTGTTTTGGTCCCATAAGTTACAGTATTTTGCAGTTTTGATCCTATCATTCAGATGCAATATGAGCAATACTGCAAACAACTACAACTTTGTAAGAACAAACTACAGCTGTGCAAAATGACAGGATAAAATTGATTTCTGGGGTAAAAAATGCAATTTCCCTTTCTTCATCTTAACAGTTATTTTCGAACTCAAATTCCCAAGGGTGTGCTTGTCTTTTTGGTTTTGTTTTGGGTTTTGAAATTGTTGAGGTGAAAGTTAGTGTTGAATGCAATGTTTAGAATGAAAAATATGGAAAATAGGTGTTGAATAGTGTGTTTGAGGATCTTTGGAAGGAAAAGGAGAATGCACTGGAAATTGAAAGGTGTGAAAATAGTAACTAAAACACAAGACGGCCTATTTTTCTTGCTTGAGCTACATGCTGGAATCTGTTAAGTGTTAATCAATGTCTGCAAATCAACTTGAAATGTGCATTCTTTACTCAGTGAAGTAAAGTTCATTCTGAGTTTGATGGTAAAATTTAGTCTAATGCTATATCTGTGTCAACCTTTGTATACAATAATTGAAGTCAAGATACTGTCTTGTGCACCAGGGTAGCACTTTTATGTATCTCTTTACTTGTTAAGTCTCAGATACTTTCTTACAAAATTCCATGATTTCATTGTCATATGCATGTAACTTGAGTTGATTTTGTAATACTGATGAGGACATTTTTACTTTGTTGTAATATAAATATTATTTGTACAACAAAATAAACATGGCCTCGCTTGAATTCCAAATGCATACAGATAGCTTTTGGTAATGTTTTGATTGCCAAATTTTTTTCTTCTTCAGATCAGGCATGTATCTGCCATATATATCTTTTGAAACTAAACGAGGATTTATTGCAGGACAACACTTGGTTTCTGGGCTGGGCATAGAAATTCTAAAATTAGGGTCATACTGGCTCGGGTATGGGAAAACGACACAGAACTAGATATTTCAAATAATAGAATCAACAGAGCAACTGGACATCTGGTGTATCAGAAAAGGTTTTACAGGACGAAGTTTTGCATTTGCCCTGGTGGCTCTCAAGTTAATAGTGCTCGTATAACAGATTCTATACATTATGGATGCATACCTGGTGAGCCTCATACACTTTCTTTCCCACAGCACCAACCAGTGATGAGTTTAATATTTGAATTAAATACTACCATGTACCTGGTGACAATGGACATAAACTGTCAATTTGGAATATTAAGCTTTGTTGTTATTGAAACTTGAGAAGCTGCATATTAGATAATTATCCTTGTGCTTCCTAATGTCTGTCTAACTTAATCTTGTAACAATCACACCTTGCCGAAACACAGATGTAAGCGAAAGAAAAGAATATATATATATATATATATGACCTTTTAGGAGTTTACTTGAACAGTTTGATGAGCAGGTAAGAAATTATTGTTCAGTTTTATTGTTGGTTTAACTGTCAAGATATAGACTACAATTTCTGAAAGCCTTCCTTTGAAATATCTGATTTCTAAGCTTTGGCTCTATATATGTCTGCATATGTGTGTGAACAATGATGAGGCTGCTGCATATTTTAACAAAATACTTTTTGACATGCAGCAACAGATATTTTAGATTCAGAGTCCTCATGTCTATGAGTATTTAAAATTATTAATTCTTGTGTGTAGGACTCATATTACTAATATTAAATGTCCGGCTGAATAGTTCATGAAAAATGTCGGTGATATTTTGAGCCTGTTGTAAATACTGTTTTGTTCAGTCTTTTATGTATTGATTATATTGACATTCCAGTGCAGTTTTTGCCTATGCACTCCCAAGTATTTAGTTGTCTCAGTAGTTTTCTGATCGAGCTTTTACAATCTCTTTGCAGTGATACTCTCGAACTATTATGATTTGCCCTTCAACAACATAGTAAATTGGCATAAATTCTCGGTAGTACTAAAGGAGACAGATGTATATCAGCTAAAGCAGATTCTCAAGAACATAACGCAAGAGCAATTTGAGGCATTGCACTATAATTTGGTCAAGGTAAATATGTATCCTCTTAAAAGTGTTTTCGTCCCTAGTCTACGTACTTGGCCTTTAATACTTAGCATTTTTCGTGTAGAGCATATGACTATGCATAATTGACCATAATTTGCATAAATACATTCACACATAAATTTCACATATACATGAAGAGAATTACTTTGACAGTTGGTAAGATTTATTTTTTTATTTTTTTTATGATGCTTCAGGTCCAGAAGCATTTTCAATGGAATTCTCCACCTGTCAATCACGACGCCTTTCATATGGTAATGTATGAGCTTTGGTTACGTCACCATGTGATCAAGTACTAACTTCTTCACTTCACACAAGTGTTGCCTCGAGGTTGGATATCCAGCGGCTGTGAATACTGACTCTGTATACTACTATTTCACCAGTTCATTCATTGTCAATTTTTTTTTTTTTCAATCTTAATATAGCGAGCAGAACAAATTTTGCATCCGCCCTTTAGTTTGCTTGAATTCATTTTGTATCTTTATCGATGATCTAGGTTGTGCCAACTGCTTGATAAACATTTTCTCCAATGTTCCTCGTTTCTTACACATAGTACCTGTCAAACTGTGTTGGTTCTGGCGATAAATGTTCACGTGGTTTTATATTGACCCGTATTTTTCTTTCTCAAGCAGAAAGCAGTTGCCATTTATGCTGCAATCACTGCCTAAGCAGGTAATAATGCGTTACTTTTACTTAATTGTTTGAGTATATTTGTAGGGTAAGGTCATGTTAACTATGTTGGATTATGTAATATCCATAACTTGGTAAACGAATCCTAAATGATATACCGAATTGTTTGATGTAGAATCTGGTAGTAAGAGTGTTCTAATATACAGTTCTTATGAAATACATTGCAAGTATAGACGGCTTAAACTATTGTTTGAGTACACTCTTCTAACAGTGGCTGGAAGAACTATTGAACCATTCTTCTACAATGTAACTAATGTATTTTCCAGTCGTCCCCATAAGGATGTCTGGTGACGTAAAGAGTGAACTTGTGGCCGTGAGGCTAGGGGTTTGAATCATGGGTTTGAACCTGGCGTCTCCAGGTCACCTGCCACACATGGCCTTAATTCCGGCCATATTGAATATTTAAACGGGTTAAATAATTCAATTTTAACCCAAACATATTTATTATTGAACTGTATATATAATTAAGTCAAAATTTTTTATTTAAATTCAATTATTTTTTATCAAATTGTTGTGTTATATTAGTTTTAATTGGTTTTGGGGTAACCAGTACAATGACTTAAGATTGAATTATTTAAAATTAAATTTAGGTTAAATTAATATGTGGACTAATTATCAAATTATAATTATTTTACATATATATAATAAATATATTAATTAATATTAATGTATTATATAATAGAGTTGTCGCGTCGGATTCGAATTGAGAGCTTTAATTCCAGCCTGATTCGTTTATTATCGTATCGGATTAATGGCAATTCGTAGACTTAGATTAAAATTCTTGATCCAAATTTAAAGTTATCGGTATCACTTTTTACCGGCTTTAGTGCTGACTTGTCCAATTATTATATGTAATAAAAGTAGTCATGATATGCTTTTATATACTATAAGATATATTGTATTATAATATAGCAGCATAAGCGCTGAGTTATAAATATGTTATATTATATTTTTTTATATAATATATATATATATATATATTTGTGCTTTGATTATTATTTAAAATTCATAGGACAATTCAAATCCAATCTTCTCTCTATGGACTTAAGTCTCCTTAGAATGAGATGGATGCATCAGTGTAGAACATTTAGTTAAAAGCCCAACAGTGTGGGCTAAAGTCCAAGGTTTTTCTTGATATTTTAATTTTATTTATTTCTATAAAAAAGAAATATAAAATAGTATTATTATTTTAAAATTTATAGTAATAATATTAATGTTCTTTAATTTGATATGTATTCATTTGTATTTATATTTTTGAAGTAATATAATTTTTGGATGTGATACATAATACTTTTGATTTTACATTTTGTTTTGAAAAAATATAATTTTTATATAAAAAATAATTGAACATATCATTAGTAAAATTATTTTAAACTAAATATTATTAAATTGATATCAAAACAATTTACATAATAATTAATAAAAAATTTATTTAGCTAAGAAAATAAACTTTTCTATTAATCTTATTTTTAGCAAATGACTACAAAAATACTATTCTTTTTGTCTCACCTATGGTGTTCAAAATGTTCGTTTCTGGAAAATAATTACACACTTTAATTTCATTTTATATTTATAATTTTTTTATTTTAATTGGACTAATTATTTATTTTAATTTTAATTTATAATTATTTATACTATAAAACAATTATTTTATTAATATATTTTTAATTATTTACTAATTATATTTATCTTGAGTTCATATGTCTATAATAAACTCGGACACGGTAGGTGAAAGGAATGAAGTATTATACTTCCTCCGTCCCATAACAAAGTGTTTATTTTTCCATTTTAGTCTGTCCCATAACGAAGTATTCATTTCTTTTTTTTTTTTTTTTTTTTTTTTTTTAGTAACTGTACTATCTACCTAACATTACAAATACTTTTACAACTTACAATATATTACACAAATATCATTATCTTTATATCACACAATACTAATAAAATTATTTTAATCATTTCTATTTTATTTTCATTATATCTTAATATAATACTAATATTTTTAAAATTTTGTGCAAAAAATAAATAGATATTATGGGACGGAGAGAGTATAAATATAAAAAAAGAAATAAATTGGGGCTATGGGCTCCTCTTAAAGAAATGGGATCTGGCCATCAGGGAGAGGTTCTACCAGCCGTGCTCAAGGCCGATATTATTTATTTCATATATACATAATGGAATTTCAAATTTTAAATTAATCACATTCATTGTACTGTACGCAATAATTATTCAGCAGTTGAAATAACAATAGAATAGTCAGTTTTAAAACAATTTAAAATTATTATTAGTGGATGATGAAATTGCCAACTATTCCAATCAAATTTTACCATATATATATATAAATAATATTTTATGAGAAAAAAATATATTTAATTAAAAAAATAATTCTGTAATTGCGTTATGAGAAAAATATATATATATATATATTTATTGAACTGTGTATAAATTAAATTAATTTTGTTGAGGTGCATGTGCAATGAAGGGTTGCTTACAGGTCGTCTCATCCATCTACTTCTAATAATACTTAAACAATAATCAAATCTCACGAGCTGCACGCATAATATCTTATTATTATTATTATTATTATTATTATTATTATTATTATTATAATACCAGAAGTATTACCTTTGTTCGGCTCTAAGAATTTCATTTACTTTTTACTTATTATATTTGAATATTAATTATTATATCAAAATATAATATAAATTAAAAAAAAAATTGCAAAAATACTTTCATTAGTATCTTATAATACTAATAAACCGACATTTATACAAAAAATTATATAAATATAATTATATTTTTAATATTAAATACAATGATGGAAAAAGTAAATGTGACCCTTAGAGGCGAACGAAGAATATACTCTCTCTGGCAACGATGAGTCATTTTGTTAGGGATACAATAGTATTTTAGATAGTGTAAATTAGTAAATTATTAATAATAAGCTATGATATTATTTTATTACTCTCTCCGTCCTACTTAATTTGTCCACTCTTTTTATTTTCATTTATCCTACATAATTTTTAATTTCCTTTTTATTTTAAATATAATTAGACACTTTAACCACATTTTAAAAATTCATAATTTATAATTTTTTATTTTAATTAAACTATTTAATCATCTTAATTTATAATTATTTTTATTAAATCATAATTATTTTTGCTAATACACATATTAATTACTTACTAATTACACCATACTTGAAACTCTGTTCTCCAGCTAAGGTGGACAAATTAAGTGGGACGAATAAAATATTTTTTATATGAATACAGTTGTTGACATTTTAAATATTTTTAACATTAAATATATGTCATATGAATATCATTTTGTAGATAATAAAATTTATATACAAATAAATAAAAAAATATATATATTTATTTATAATTAACTTAAAATTAATTTTTTTTAAATGAAAAGTTTTTAATATAGATAAAAATATTTATTTATTAAGAAGAGATATAAATAAAGTAGTTTTGAGTGGACATACGGGTAATAAGATAAACATTTAATTGAAATAATTTATATTTATTAAATATATTTAAAATGAATAAATTTATTAAAAATAAAAATAGATCATCTTTTATCGAAAAAAATGGAAAGATAAACACTGCATGTTGGGGACGGAGGGAATATTATTATATTTTAATATTATTATATATAAAAAAATTAAACAAACAGAAAGAGATACTAAATTGGAATTAACATGATAAAAGTTATTTTAATTTGTAAAAAATAAAATTTTATATTAAAAAATAAACAAAAATATATTATACATAATTAATATAAATTTGTTTTTAAAAGTATATAAATTTATTTATCTTATTTAGAATTGATAAAAATAAGAGATTGGATCTCAATTTAAAAAATAAAAATAAAAATTTAGAGAAATACTAATTAATTAAGATGAAAGAAAAGTTATAAATCAACTTTGAGTCCGGTTATCCTTATTATTATTACTCTCTCCCTCCCATGACTATGTATCCATTTGTTTTTTATGAAGTTTTAGAAATATGTGTGATATAAATGTAATGACATTTGTGCAATATACGTAAGTTGTAAGGGTATTGGTAATGTTAGATAGATAATACAATTACTTAAAAAAATAAAATAAATACTTTGTTATTGAACGGACTAAAATAAAAAAATAAATACTTTGTTAGGAGACGAAATTATTATTATTATTATTATTATTATTATTATTATTATTTTTGCCAACTGTTCATCTATTATTGTTAGAGAAATTGTGCTTTAATTAATTTTTACTTGTCAGCCCTCTATTTGATTTTGCATAGATTATTACACTCGCCTGACATGAGGATCTGTACGTATAAATAAATAAATATATATAATAGAGGCGAATTCGATGTTGACGGTATTTTATTTGATTTTGATATGCTATTATTTTCATTTTGTTATACTACTTTCATTTTTATAATATATTTTGTTTTCGTTTGGTAAGCTACAAAGTTATTCAAATAATAATAAAATAAAAGATAAAAATGAAAACTGAATTTAAAAAATTGAGAATACATGTGTCTAATTGTTTTATTATAAAATTAGTTATACTTCATCCGTCCCTTAAAAGGTTACTATTTTTCATTTTCATTCGTTCCAAAATAAGGTTATACTACCTACTTCACATAATAAATACTCTTTCAATTTATAATATATTACACAAATGTCATTACTTTTATATTACATCATACTAACAGGGGTATTTTTGTCTTTTTTACTACAATTCAATATAATACTAATATTCAAAAATCTACGTGAAAAAGCAATATAATATAATATATT